TCAAACATAAGGTCAATGTCCGTTGATAAGCAAAAGGAGACGCTTATCTGTCGGGTTACTTCCCAAAGTTGCTTCCGAGTTAGTCTTTGTGACATTAGCACCTACCTTTCACACACATCCCATATTTGGTTAAGACCTGCATTTGTTTGATAATCCATGATTTTAAATGAACCATTGATAGGTTCTGAAAGGAATTTTATGACACTTATATATTTATAAAGGACATTACCATATTACGCAATTGGATTATTATACCCGAGCATTCGTAAGCGAATGGCGCCATCTTTGCCGCGCGCCATGGGAGAGTGAAATCTTTCAAAACGTTGGGATAAATGGTAAAGGTAACAATTTATTTCATACCCTTGATGATTTGTGTAATTAAAATGCAATGGAAATTATCCCCTGAGTGCTACGGGCATCTGGGAAACAAAATCATACAGAGACGGGTGATTGCTAGATCAGGGGAGTGTTTCACAAAGACTTATATTGACATTAGGTTGGATTTAAATATGGCAGACCATTCATGGCACTGGTTGCTATAACTATTGGTCACTTTTCGTGACGGTTCGATACTTAAAAAATCCCAAAATTGATAAAAAGGCACTGCCCGGATTTGAACCGGGGATCTCCTGTTTACTAGACAGGCGCTTTACCAACTAAGCCACAGCGCCGCACACATACGATACGAGTTTTGTGTCAAAGTCGATCCAGCTAACAATTTAGAACCATGACTTACGCTTTGCTTGTAGAATTCTCGGAAAAGTTGACAGAAGGCCCTTGAGATAGACCAACATGCCTGTCATGTGTCGTCACTATTGGTCCCTCAATTATGATCTTTAGATAATACTTTTTCTTTCAATAATGAACTATCAAAAAATGTAAATTCTGTAGATTTGTAACCACGATATATATGTCCCTTCCAAAAGCTATGTAGGAATGGTTAGAGGAACTAGTGGAATGTGTGGCCTGCCATAGTTAAGTCAAACTTAAAGTCGATCTTAGTCTTTGTTAAACACCCCAGGTATCATAATGTAAAAGAATCCTCCTTTCGTGTGGCACAATTTATAAAGTGAACGTCAGATACGAATGACCCTCCCATGGGTGTCGATCCCGGGGAAGATGGGGGGGGGGGGGTGGCCTGTACAATCATCCCCCCAATAATTCACCATCACAAATTTTTTTTTTTAATGATGATAGCCCGATGAGAGTACATGTAATGGTTATCATACTCGTCTTTTGTCTTCTTTCTCTAATAATTCAATGAAACATCAAAGCTTCCGCGCTTCGCGCGGAGGAAGGGGAACTTGATTCAAACAAGGATTAATAGTCGAGAACGGTACAACGAATCGTCTTCTTTCTCTCATAATTTAATGAAACGTCAGAGCTTCCGCGCTTCGCGCGGGAGGGGGGGGGGGGGGGGAACTGAATTCAGACAAGGATTAAGAGTCGAGAATGGTACAACGAATCGTCTTCTTTCTTTAATAATTTAATGAATTGTCAGAGCTCACTACCACCCCCTAAAATAAAATCCTGGTAATTACGCGCTTGAGAGGATAATAACCCAGGTAGCAAGCTCATGTGGGCCCCACATGGGTCCCATATTCTCTGAAATGTTATCTTCATTGAGGGTGACTTGAAAAAGTTAATAACTTGGAAGGGAGGGGTGCAATCTGCCACACGCTTCTACCTCTTGGTTGCTTTGATCCATTGCCGAAAATATTTTGGCCCCTTTCATCATCCCCAACCACGGATACAAATCGACACCCCTGGACCCTCCTAAATATCAGATATAAATTATACATCGTGCTACTCGATTCTGGTATCTATGGTGGCCCTGAAGGGACATCGCGAATAGACTAAATCGTGAAAAATATGCGATAAAATTCACGATATCGTCAATTTTATCGCATATTTTTCACGAAGAAATTCACGAAATTGACGATATCGTGAACTTTATCGTGAACTTTTCACGATGAAATTGACGATATCGTGAATTTTATCGTGAAAAGTTCACGATATAAAGTTCACGATATCGTCAATTTTATCGTGTACTCTATCGTGTACTCTATCGTGTACTCTCCTGACGGGCGCTTCGTAAACAAAACCAGCCCTAGCTGGGGGAGACAGAGAGAAGGAAAAAAGGGAAAGGGAAAGAGAAGATAAAAGGAAAGAAAGAATAATAAGAAGAAAAGAGGGAAACGGGGGGGGGCGAAGGGCTCTTGCCTCCTCCTCACTCCCCCCTCCGCCAAAATGAGAGAGAGAGAGAGAGAAGGGAAAGGGAAAGAGAATAAAAAAGGAAAGGAAGAAGAATAAGAAGAAAAGAGGGGCTCTTGCCTCCTCCCCCCTCCCGCGCCAACAAATAAATAGGAGAGAGAGAGAGAGATAGTGAGAAGGGAAAGGGAAAGGGAAAGAAAATATAAAAGGAAAGAAAGAAGAAGAAGACGGAAAGAGGGAAACGGGGGAAGGGCGAAAGGCTCTTACCTCCCCCTCCCCCCTCCCGCCATAAAGGGAAAGAGAAGGGAGAGGGAAAGAAAATATAAAAGGAAAGAAAGAAGAGGAAAAAGAATAAGAAAAGAGGGAAACAGGGGCGAAGGGCTCTTGCCTCCTTTCTTTTCTTTCTTTTCCTTTCTTTCCTATTCTCCCTCTTTTTCGTTTTTCTCTTTCTTTCTTCTCTTTCCCTTTCCTTCTCTCTCTCTCTCTTATTTATTTTTTTGGCGGGGGGGGGGAGGGGGGCAAGAGTCCTTCGCCCTTCCCCCGTTTTCCTCTTTTCTTCTTCTTCCTCTTCTTTCTTTCCTTTTATCTTCTCTTTCCCTTTCCCTTTCCCTTCTCTCTCTCTCTCTGATTTATTTTTTGGCGGGGAGGGGGGGGGGGGGGGGGGGGGAGTGAGGAGGAGGCAAGAGCCCTTCGCCCCCCCCGTTTCCCTCTTTTCTTCTTATTATTCTTTCTTTCCTTTTATCTTCTCTTTCCCTTTCCCTTTTTTCCTTCTCTCTGTCTCCCCCAGCTAGGGCTGGTTTTGTTTACGAAGCGCCCGTCAGGAGAGTACACGATAGAGTACACGATAGAGTACACGATAAAATTGACGATATCGTGAACTTTATATCGTGAACTTTTCACGATAAAATTCACGATATCGTCAATTTCATCGTGAAAAGTTCACGATAAAGTTCACGATATCGTCAATTTCGTGAATTTCTTCGTGAAAAATATGCGATAAAATTGACGATATCGTGAATTTTATCGCATATTTTTCACGATTTAGTCTATTCGCGATGTCCCTTCAGGGCCACCATAGGTATCACTTGCTTTTGACAATATACTCTCGTCAAAATATGTAGCCTTATTTACACTATTTTCCAAACGCCAATGATAAATAATAATAAAAGGTCTATTTTGTTTATAGACGCCATGGTGTCGTTGTTCTAGCAGCCATTAGGTAAAGTTTAGTACATGTTTCTTCTACCCAGTAGAGAGCTAGAACAACAGCATACAAATCATACAGTTACATAATGCATAATATAAATACTGACATGATATGGACCACTAAACAGAAGCATAGATTAAAAAAAAGGTGAATTGACGTGCCCCATTTAGATCTGACACCGTGTGAACACGCTCTTCGAGACAACACGTCACTGTCCACACGGTATCATATGTCACATCGTGTTTCTCAGTGAGCTAAGAAAGCATCTGTCCGTATGAACAGCTTCAAATCAGAAATCCAGATTAATTCCTACATATAAACACACCTGACGTCATATTGACAGAGGCGTTTCACAATAATTGACAACAAACGCGTGCCATTCCGGCCGTAATCTAATCTACCCTCATATCTCATTTCTACGTACTAAACCTATAATTTTGCAATCTTTATCACGCGAAGGAAACGGGTAACTGCGTCGTAGAGATAAGAGGAGGAAAGAAGATACCCATTCATATCCTCTTGAGTATTTTGTAGGTCATAGTTCACATGAAACCTCGCGCAGAAAACGGAGGATGGTTTCGATATCAAAGAGACCAAACATGGTATTGACGTCATCTTTATATTATGATGTAACAATGGAGAATAAGGTGGCATAGTATTTACATGAGTTCATGAAGGAATTTACTGACTTAAACGAGTGGGTCCATGCTTAAAGGTAATAAAAAACTTTGGGGAAATTTCGAAAATTGGGTGGATAGTGATTCTTTGAAATGTTGATATATGCCCCTGTGGATTTATTAAGGGCACTAACAAATTTAGTCCCTAAAACACTTCTGCTTTTGAGAAAATTGAATATAACACTTTACCGGTGCTGCCGGTAAATTTTGATGAATTTCAAATAGCGCCTACGGCCGTACAAAGGTAGCTGCGACCATGAAAATAACAGAATATGTTGTTGTGATTTATAATTTCCAAGCGGGAATACCAAATCGGTCGATTTTAGTCAAGAAACATTGTTTTATAGCTTAATTAATATCTTGACCTTGAGAGGGAGCTATACAACATAAAGCATTTATTATTGACAATTTCATAACTTTAGACTCGATTTCAACCGCGACAACGATCACTGAATATTGTAAGATCATTATGCTTCCAATATGTTCATTTGAACCAAATTCATGACCCCATACCAATACTTTGTATTACCTTTAAACCGTCCCCCTGCTAGGTTTGACCAACAAAAAATCAGGGTTCTTGAAAAAAAATTCGGTTAAGATTCAGTTGAGCTCAGACAAACGTGACAAACTGTCTGGTTATATATCAAAATGTGCAAAACCCAAACTCTTGTACACTAAATTACTTCGTTTCACCAATCTAATGTTTATTTGCTGTTACTTCAGTTCATGTTACATTTTCTTGCAGTTAATTAAGTCCATGATGTCTCTAACATATTGTCATTATTATCAGGGATAAAGTAATGCATCCGCGTTTTCAAAACTATTCTGCACTGCATGCATCCACATACTTTTTAACTACCTAATACAATACAACAGAATAATACATAGCATTAACGAAAAAGTAATGGAAACTAAAGGGCCTTGACTTTTACTTTATTGAACAATACGTACATGTAATAAAAACAACAAAATAAAACACATTATTAGCGGAATAATTCATATCACGTCCAATATATGTACTCAACTTGAAGAACTTGAAAAGTCGGCAGGTAGAAATTCCGAGTTTGGATCAATGGTTTTAGACATTTGTTGTATTGTTTGTTGCCAATAATATTACAGGTCATGCGAAATCGTTATTAATTTTTACGTACTGACACACGTATAATATTTGGGTGGTCAAATTTTCACAACTAAGGTAGCATATACATGTTAAAAAGAATTAGATATCTGGAAGGCCTCACGTGAAAGACAGTGTTGATATTTGAATTACATCACAGCATTTAGAATATAATTTTTAGTTTATGTAATAACATATGTAGTTATAACTTGCATAGCGCCTACTTTTACATTTCTATGCGATTTACATCAAATTCTATTACTCCAGTCACTGTCGGCACCCGTGCGCACTCTCTATATCTCACCTTTTCCTCCTATGTTTATTCTCACTTTTATTTGTCTTTATTTCAAAGGGTCCATGGCTCTGCTGTATAGTACAAGAGTACTTTGATAAATCAATACATCCCATCTAGATCTATATGCTCTCAAAACTCTGGATTTCTTGTGCTTTCTAAGATTAATAAAAAGTAGGGTAAGAAAACCTTTGCACATGCAGGGCCTTCGCTGTGGAATGTTCTCCCTCGATCAGATCAGCAGATCAGTTTAAGTGTTAACCAATAATCTTCAAACTAATATGTTTGGATCGTCATTTAAATAATTATTCTCTAAACTTTTGTTTAAAGTTTTATCTTAATCCTGCTATAATGCAGATGAGATTTTTTTATTATGTACAAGTGCATCTTCAGCATTTGATTTCAAGGTCATTTGGCGCCATACAAATTTCATTGACAAAAGGTAAAATTCTTAAGAATGTGTTTTTATATCCAAATTCATTCAGCATAGATACACTGTAACAGGTATATCTAGTTCTTTCTTTTGCCATATCCTTCAGGTCAAATTCATTTCAAAATTTTAAACATGTTCTTACTTATTGTTTATTGCTGTTATGAATTTATGTTCAAGATTTTGTTGTTAATATTATTATCATATATATATATATTTGTTAAACTATAATGTACCTCATTATGTTTAACAGGGCATCATCAAAGACCACCATTATTGGTGATAATGAGTCACCCTGTCTAAATATCAGAAATAAATAAATAAAAAAAATCCCATTATTATCAATAGTATCATTATTATTATTATTATTATAATCGCCAATGGCCTTAATTACACATGTACTCCTGCTAGTGAAAAAAGTGACGTTCGCATCATACGCCGAGTATACACGTATACGGCCTTCACCTGGATGGAGAGAAACAACGTAGATAAAATGCTTGCTTAAATACCCTGTGCACTTATTGGGCAATTCATCGGGGTCACTGCAATGTTGAGGAAGGCAAATGGGAGGGAGAGAGAGAGAGAGGGGGGGGGTGGGACTATTTAACAAATCAGGCATTTGAAAAATCGACGTCAGCGAAGCATGCTATACAATATTTTCTTACACAGCATAAGTATGGGTTATTTGAAATAATACAAACTGTTAACAGTGTTACCAATATACACACTTTCTATACAAAATATTTGGTTATAAATCTGTTTCACACCGTGCCTAATTTGCTATTACTTTGTACATGAAATGTATACAAGTTTTGAATCGGAAATATAGCTTCCCTTTTCTATAAAAGACAGTACAAACGAATCCTGTTAGCTAACCTAAAGGGATTTTTTGGCTAGATTTAAAAGTATATGTCCTTTCTTCGTATAAATTATTTTGGGGAAAAACATGAAATAAGGATGGTCTATACGCCACAGGTTGCTATTACGGACTTTTAGATTTGCGTGGACTGATACGTGTGACGTCCATTCAAGGCAGTGCATCAAAAGGACGTCAATCGTAGCAATCCACGTTGTCGTTGTACAAATCTAAAAGCCCCTATTGTGTTAATCCGTAAGACACGCGTCTTGCTCGACGAACAATGAGTGTTGCGGCACAGGCGGCCATCACGCATACAACGCCCGTCACCGATAACCCAACTGCTAGGGGCATATTCACACCGCCTTCACTTCCCGAAACAGACGCCGAAGTCGAATTCGACATCGACTGCGAAGATGCGATTACATCTGTACTCGAGGTTGGAGTATTGTCTGTAGTTTTTGATACGTTTGTAGAAAACGTTGTTGCTTCTGTGGAATTTGATGCATCTGCTGTTGGTCTCAAGGTGGCGGTCGATGAAAAAGATGATGGAGACGACGATGACGACGACGATGACGTTGAATGGACTCCAATACCTGTAGAAGGTATATCCGATATACTTTCTTCTGTACTGACATTCATAGTGGGCTTAATTGATGTCTCAGTTGATTCAGTCGCATCGGTTGACGAAGTTTTGTATATAGTTGATTCCGTATTCGACCCCGTTTGCAACGTCGTCGGAGTTTCACTGGTAGCAGGCTCATAATTTGCAGTTGTGACAGACGTTGTTCTTAACACCGTTGATAAATCGGGCGCTCCCGTACTCATCGAGAATCCCGGTGTCTGTATATCAGTAGTTCTTTCTGGTGTTGATACACCAGTAGTTGTAATTGTTTCAGTTGTAACGACGCCATTAGTTGCTGTGCTCCTAAAATCAGTATATCTTACAAGCTCTTCTTTCGTGGTAAAACTTTGAGTGATTAGGTCGTTTGTTCGGGAGGTCTGTGATTCAGTACTAAGTGAATCTGTATATTTCCCTGAACCAGTTGGACTTTCTTCGGTTGATGACTCAGTTCCTGCAGTTGTGGCAATATGTGTTGAGGGACTTGCAGTTTCAGTATTTGCACCAACCTCACCTTCTGTGGTATGACTTTGAGTAACAACTTGTGCTGTTTCAGATCTTTCTGACACTTCTGTAGTTGTTGTCTTTTCAGTGCCAATAGAAGTCAAGATTATTCTTCGGGTTGTTTGAACGGACTCGGTAGATTCCAAAGAAGTAGTCGATGCATCAGGCATTGTATAGTAGTCATCCTGGATTGTAGACATGGTAGATGATGCTACTTCGGTAGTTGTAGAAGTAAAAGTACGAGTTGCACTGGGTTCATTAGTAGATGAGAGGCCTGGGACTACATCCGTTGCAACGGCAGGAAGTTCTTCAAAGGCTGTCGTGGGATCATTCACTGAAGGAGTAGAAGTCGTCAGCGTCAGTGAACCCGATGATGTCAATTCGGGAATGGACGATGGAAATGGACTCAATGTTGCTTCTGTAGACCGAGGGAGTGTTGATGGTGTCTGCGTTGTCGACAGCTCAGGTTCCGACTGCGTTGTCAATCTCGAAACCGACGCCATTGAGGTGTCTGAAATTGGCGTTCCAATATTGGTAACATCCGTTACTACGGACGCTTCGGTCGTCGCCGCAGTCACGGTGGGGACAGGAGTTCGTCTCATACACGGAGAGAGTGAAGAATCGGTTGCCGCTCGAGAAGAAGTCGGGTTCGTCGTCGCCATCGTTGTCGACGATTCTGCAGGTCCTCTAGTTTGAAATATTGTACTTTGTCCAGATGTCAATGAGGTCTGTCCATGTGACGTTAGAATGTCTGTCGAGGTTTCAGAGTTTTGTGGATTGCCTTTGACCATTGCCATGGAAGTGATGTTGATTCCGACAATGTTTGGATTAAGCGTGGTCACACCACGATCGGAAGTACGTCCACGAAAGAGCCTTGATAGAGGAATGCCTAAAGAAGAATGATAATAGATATGATTTATTGTAAATGGTGAATGAAACCTGCAATACTCATTATTTTCTGCACGATATAGGTCCAAACAAAATATTCTGTAGAAATGGAACAAAAGACCGAAAAGGTTTCCTGATTTGCCGGATGCCTTTTGACGTGTTTGTAAAACATTTGTTGGAGAAAGCGCTCAAATGATAACAAACTCAGAAATCAAAATAGCATGTTGAGAGGAATTTTTCTTTGCTGCGAAATAATCTGGAACTGTGGACGCCCTGTGCATCCTTCCCCTTCACTAACATATTTGAGTTTAAAAGAAAATCTTGTAAATCATTGAAGCGTAAGAATGAGAGACAAATCATCAGCATGATGATCCCTATTCACTATCATCATATCCACAACCAAAATCATCGTCATTATCATCCCAACTGCCCACCACCATCACGGTAAGGCGTCTAAAAAAGATTTATTAAAGTATTCAAAACTGAGAAATATCAGCCCAAAGAGGGAGAAAAAAAGAAGAGGAAGATTTCCGACCAACCGACCCATGTTTTGGCACCTAAAGGGCAATAAAGTATCTTTTTTTAAAGGCCTAATTATCTTCACCATCATCAGCATCATCACCATGATCACCATCATTGTCATAATCATCATCATCAGACATCAGTACCTGGTAGAATCTGACACCTTTCTCCTCGGTATCCCCCAGTACAGATACAGGTGAAAGTAGGACCATGTCCGAAACATAACCCTCCATGAAGGCAAGGAGAGCTCGCACAACCATCATCTAAAAACAAAAATCGAATGGGAAAGTATATATTTAAGTTTAAGCACTAACAAAACATATGTGTAAACTGGGATCCTCTGCCTTTATAAAAATACATCGACAAGGTTGGGGTAAAACGTAAACATTATCAATGTGGGTAAGATTACCCCCATCTTAAAAAAAAAAGTTTTCATCAGCAAAATATCTAAACTATTGAAGACCTTCCTCGTGATCGTGTTCGTCCATTCCGAATCCCTTTTGTCGCCATGATTGGTGGCGCTCTTCTAACATACATCTTCTCATTGTTCTATGCTTACAAGTAGTTACCGAATCAAAACAATCTGATACATTCTTGCTTTAAACAAAACAATTTTCTCTCAAACCAAACCAAAACGATTGGACTATTTTAAGACGTTCTCATTTCAAATGGTACCAGGCATGTTCGGGTGATTTAAATGTATGTATTAAATTAAAGTTAATTTAATGAAATCTGCACAATGTGACTGTGCCTTCAGATACTTACGTTTTATTTTGATTTCTGCATTTTGGATTCTTACAAGCGCATCCTGAGATGAAACTGTAATCTCAGCCATAAATTGCACCTTTAAAAATAAAGCAGAGGAAGAAGTAATTACAAGATTGTTAGTTGTTAAAAATAAAGTATTGTAAAATAATATGGTTTACCATATTTACGTTTGTGGTTTGATTGAGACCTTTAAAAGTACCTATTTCTCTAAAAGCAATAATGAGAGAAAATATGACAACTTTACAAGGTTTTGCCTTATGACAGCAGCAATGAAAAGCTATTAATGAAGATGAAAGAATAAAGTCAGATAAAGAATGTCAGATAAAGAATGTTTAAAGCATTGAACTGTCATGGTATATGATATCGACATGAGAACTTTCTAATTTATTGCCGATTAAGCAAATGAGTTAAATTTGAGATGGAAAACGTGAAAGACACTAAGAAACCTGTTCATGGTAAATACTGAATTTAATTTTGTCATGAATTGATAATTTCATTTACTTTTTGCCATACACTATTTTTGTATCATATTCACGGTAGTAACAATCGACTTGAGTTACACTCCCCTAAAGTTGACTACCGCTTTACCAACTTTTTTGTTCTCACCGCAAATCTTGAAACACCGCCTTGTGCAAGCAGCAGTGACGTTGTTACCCATGAATCCGTAGGTCCACTTGTATGCCATATATTGTCAAAGTCGCCGCCGTTCCTCGACCATCGTACAGAGAGGGCATTGACAAGATCGTCATTGCGGTGATCCGAGAGCTGGTATTGAAAACTGATCTCGATTGTGTCGGTGGTGGCGGCAGTCACTTCGGGACTTTGGAGTAATGCTGTGCCGTTTTCTTGGCTTATTGTGACGTATGCGTAGGAGGAAGGATCTGAAAAGAGATTAATGATTAATTAGACATTGATCATAGTACCGGTACAAACACCTGTAAGCATGGTAAGACGCATATCAATCAAAAGGCTTAGTATGGGCCCAACATGTATATGTTTACGAGTGCATAGGCATTATTTGTTAATTTGTTTTCGTCGGGGTAAGGAGTGGGGAGGGGGGGGGGGGCTGCCCACTCCTCCAGTTTTCTCAATTTTCATTTGAAAGAGTTAAGCGAGCGAGCAAAACTTGGAAACTTTAACATAGTAACAACGCAATTTTGTTATCAGAATCATTTTACCAAAAAAGGATATACAAAATACAGGTAGTCTATTTCGCTGCCCGCCTCGTATGCCTATGCGCAAGTGTGTTGGCATTGCAATTTAATAAATATACAACTTTTTCATGCTTTTAGGATATTATATAAGTATCATCATCAGATCATCTGAATATGCCCTGTATATATTATGTCATTCTTATTAACCACACGAACACGATTTTATGGGGGAGGGGAAGGGGAGCGGTAAATACTTCCCGTCTACCGTCTACTATCCTCATGGTCTCACAATCGTTTCGTCTACTTATCATTTGGTCTAATGACCATTAAGGCTACTATGTTAATCATTTGGTCAAAATTCCATATGGTCTAATCTCCAATTAGTCTTCTACCCATTTAGTCTATTGTTCATTGAGTCTAATAACTAGTAAGTCAGATTCCCATTTTGTCTAAGGTCAATTTCGTCTTCCATTCATAAGGCCTTATAAACATTTGATGATGATTATTTATTAAGATCAAATGATTAGTAGACCATAATCATAGATAATAGACAAAATGGGCATTATACAAACTAGGAATTAGACCAACTGGCAAATAGGTGTAGACTTATTGGAGATTAGACCTAATGGAAATGAGACCAAATGACTTTTAGCCCGAATGGTCATTAGACCAAATGATAAGTAAACAGAATGAGTATTGTACCATGTGGATAGTAGACTGACTGGATGTAGACCATATGGGAATAGACCAATCTGGTAGTAGACGAACTGGTTGTAGACCACACGGCTATATATACACCAGTAAACATGGGTCCGCGCTTGTGGGCCATCATCTATATCCACGGTAACCACATGCACGACTTTTAATTTTGGTAAAATGAATACAGACCGATACCCATGTGTGACACCCTCTTTAACCCTATTAACTTGAATATGGGGGCAAATACTCCCCTTCTGCCATTAATCAGTACCCCTGAGTGAGACTCTCCGAACCCTGTCAACGAGATGATCCCCTGAACAAGAATTTCCTGGGATAAATACCCCATTTCATACCATCAGTATATCAAAGCTCCCATGTGTGACACCCTTTTTAACCCCCGTAAACGAGATTTGTTTTATTTTGTTGGAAGGGGGAGGGGGTATTGCTCTTCTTCTACCATGAGTGATACCCGTATGTGAAACTGACTTTATCGAGATGCTATATTCGGGGGGGGGGGGGGGGGAACTCATGTTTGGTTTCGACGGGGGTGTGCCGCTGAAGCCCCGCAACCCCTACCCATTTTAAGGGTAAAGCCCATTTCCCAAAATTTTCAAAATGTTAAAAAAGCGGACCCATATTTACTGTAGAAGTATTTTTGTTAAAAATGGGACTCATGTTTAGGGATTTTTTGGTGAAAAAGTTACCCATTAGAGCGGCACACCCCGTATGTCTTAATATGTGAGTACCCCCGGTCTATAATCAACGAGATTTTTGTTCGCGAGGGAGGGGGGGGGGGGGGGGGGGAGTGGGGAGAAGGGGTTAACATATACTAAAAGTGAAGAACAATATCATTGCCCCTGTGTGAAACTCTCTTTGACCCCGAGAACGAGATTTCGGGAACAAATACGCCCCTTTCTTACAGACAGCGAATATCAAAGCCCCCTGTGTGCGCCACCCTCCTCAACCCCTTAAATGACATTACGGATGTCATTCTCGTGTATTTCGTACCTTCAGCTGACGAGGAGGATGTGTTGGGGTCACGGGAGCTCCTCCACCGGGGGCCCGCCCCGACGCTGATCCAGCCGCACAGACCCGCCTGGAAAGTACAACTCTGCCCTAGGGAGACTGCATGGGACGAAAAATAATATGTTAGCAATCGAAGAGGATAATATGTCATATTATGTATATAATATTGAAGAGAGAGAGAGAGAGAGAGAGAGAGAGAGAGAGAGAGAGAGAGGGGGGGGGGGGGGGAGAGGGGACGAAACAATTGGGCGGTATGCACAAAGATGTATTTGAAGATATCATATTGAGAAATTCATCTGTATATACATATTCTCATATGAACTTGCGCACTGTTGTGTCAAATCAAACACTTACATGGCCCAATCGCGATCCGAGATGAAATCACATCGTAATTTGAAATGTAAATAATTGATTTGAATCGCTTGTCACACCCTTTGCTTATATACGGAGATTATCTCGTATGTGTTCGTGTAACATACATTGTTTCGCGCGGTTCCAGATTCTTTTTAAACGTTTGACTATCTATCAAAGTCAGGAGTAATGTGATATATTTATGTTGCTAGGTATTTACACATTTGAAAAAAGTAGTGTGTCAATGTAGCGGAACATCTTTTGAAGACTGAACTAACATTTCATGACAATCATTAGCATCACCACTGTATGTGTTATACTAGTCATTTATATCAAGCACATGACTTAGGAGATATTAGTTGTATTATCACGTTTTTTGTGCAAGATGCGAAAGCTAAAATTTGTTCATGATGTATTTCTATATGTTATCATCGCCCTTCTGCACAAATTGACTTAGACAAGTGACACCATAATCATTATGTTTCATGTAATTTCATGTAAGGAAAACATTATTTGCCGGTAACTGAATTTTCAGATTATCATATTAATAGCTTCCAGCTGGTGTCATGTCGTATTTTACTCTCATCAAAACTTGTGATTTATTCACTAGTATTCTTCCGTATTAAAATTAAATAGCAATATATCACCTTTTCATTTTCCTGATTATGTACACAGCGCTGTAATTCCGCCCACTCGTTTTACCGTTCTTGTTTATCATAGGAAGTGAAAGCTTGACGAAAACATTTGGATGTTTATGATAAGTTAAATTATGAGACATTGAATTAGAACCCGGGTCTGGTAGGGGATGCTGATTGAAACCCTTCAATTGCAACGCTGAATCTTTGCATGATAAATGAATGAATGAATGAATGAATGTCATTTTCCAGTGAATATTGCAAGATATCGGAGTTCTATCATGTTTAACTTCTAAAATTCTACTCTTTCGACAGTTGGTCATTACGAATATATTTTGTCTGAATGTTCATGTTTATTATCCAATACTGACTTATCCGTTCCAGCTCCCTGTTCAGACTTAACACTTTGTGTACAAACTTTAATTTTACTTCAAATATTAGTCGAATAAAATAACAGCAAGTATAATACGCATTGATCAGAGAAAATATACAACCGGATAGTGGAAATATAATCATGCTGAGGAACAAATTTGCTCGCACGTCATTTTGCTTAATATATAACAAACGTACTATTCACATCTCTTTAGAAACCAGATTCTCGCTGGAGTGGACACTAACATTTAACATAGAAAAAAAAGGGCATAAGATCATGGCCTCGCAACCTTTTCAAATTGGTGCCTAAATTTGAATCAACAGGGGTGGAAACTTACCTCGAAATACTGCGAAGATAATTCCAAAATGGCAGAGAAGGTTGAACTTCCAACAGGGCTTCATGTTGCACTTGATCCCAAATGAAGACTCCCTGTCCAAAGCGATGTAAAGTTTGATGGTCGCCTTTCAAACCGCAAAGCTTTTGGGTCCCGCACCTTTCTTTGTGAAACGTATCTATCTCTTGCTTATCTCCAGTCGGTGTCCATGAGAACTTCAAGTTCCACACTGAAGATATAATCATGATGGTTATAACGGAAACGTTAAACTAAACAAACTGTTATCTAACATGATTCTGCCACACCGATTTGATGGAGATGGAATATTAGCAAATATAGGAAGAGCACCTTCGCAGTCGGGTTTGTGACGAATTGTCCTTTGTTCCCTGATGTACATCTCGATGTTGGTCAATTTTCTGAATGGTTTTCTTCATTGCTGGCTCAAAACAGCTCTGTATTGTTGCAATTTTAAAAAAGTGATGAAGGATTCGTTAACGATTTTTTTGGAAATACAGGTTCATGACTTTAAAACTAAAAGTTACCTTATACTCCTCTCGTAGTAACTGACCCTGCTTGAAATATCCTCAAAACTATGAGTTGATATCAAAATCAAAGCTGTATCACTATGTGATTAGTACGATGATTAAATCGATGTTGCTATGTGTTCGCAGCAGTTTGTAGGGGTAGATTCGGAAATCACTGACAGGAAGACACGCACTTTTTTATTTGTTATTGAGAGGCAGAATCATATCCTCCAAATTCCTTACAAAATAATTAATAACAATGCTAATAAAAACAGATCTTCTTAAATTCGGGGGAGGGGGCAGAATAAGTGCACGTTTGTAATGAGATCCATGTCATAAGCATGACAAGTTTGGCTTGAATTGAGATAGAAACAAAGAAGGGGGGGCACATGCCCCTGTATCCCCTGGACCCGCCCTTGTTTAATGACTGAAACCTTAATTGCGTCTCCAACAACTACCCGGAATAAACGAATCATTATGTGGGAAGATTATAAGCAGATGCATGAGAGATATTTACTGTAATGTTTTCGAGCAAGGCCTATTGTCATGACATAATTTATGTGTTTTTATATCAGCATCAAAACCCAGCTGTAATAATGCTTTTAAAGGGAGTATACCTTTCAGAAGTTAGCCTCAATATTATTATTGAAATAGCCTAAAATATTTTAATATCCGATCCTACACTTAAAAACAATGGTTTGATATTTTCGCTCTCGTGGTAGCAACATTACTTGGCGTATCTCTATATTTAATTTCTCTTTTATTTTCAAACAATTTTATTTATTCACGAAGGTAGTAAATGCAGATTGTCTTATAGGAAAGTCTTGATTATCATAATTCCATTTAGAAATATGCAATAAGGCACATCGCCAGCAGCATATTATGTACAGAAAGATCCTGGAAAGTTTCAGTGATAAAAAAAAAATAAAAAAAAATAGAAGGATACTTGAATACTTTGGGGTATTGTATCCCATAGCCCGGAGGTACACCACGCGAAGAACAAAACAATCCGGGTTTGGTTCCAGCTAAGGATCGCGCCCTCTAGGCTAAAGGGCTGTCCACTTTCCAAGTTGAAGAAACGACTTTGATGAGATACAGCATCAGAAATAAAAGACGTGAACATTTAAGTGCTATTTTCCGAGTACACCATATTTTATGGATTATAACAGAGTAGCTCTAATGCCATCAGAACTATAATCAACCATTGACTCCTGGCTCAACATGTGCAAAGTCAAATATACACTAAACCACTATTTTACTTAAATATCATACTCTTCTCCTTCTTGATTTTGTTCTTTTTCCTTTTCTTGTTCTTGTTCTTGTTCTTCTCCTTCATCTTCTCTTCTTCTTCTCCTTCTTCTTCTTCTGCTTCTTCTTCTTCTTTTTCTTCTTCTTCTTCTTCTTCCTCTTCTTCTTCTGCTCTTTCCTTCTGCCCTAAAACAAGGACAATATCTAATTTAGATAGGCTTTTATTGCCTGAAAGATTCCAACGCAACAAAAAAAAAAAAAAATCAATCTACCAAACAAATAAACAACAACAGCAACAGCAATAACATACGAACAAATGAAAATACACCAACAAACAAACAACCAACTAAGTAAACGCAAGGCCTAAGATTTATTCAGAATGAAATTTTGGATCAACTGACATGAAACAGTCTCAGTTACCCAACTAATGACGCGGTTTCACGTGACATCACTTTATTATTATGCCCTCTGCAATAATGTACCAACAAATAAATCAAACAGAAAACGAATGCAAATATACGACTAAACGCGTGGTTGTTTTCTTAATACTTCATTTTGACATAATAAAAACTTGAATTCGGCAGACAGTACATGTTTGGTAGGTATCCCTGCGTTGAAACTGATTACCCTTTCCCCACAGGTCAGAGACCTTACAAAAAGTAAAATATGCCACGACCACGAAGGGACTCGAACCCTCAATCTTCTGATTCGAAGTCAGACGCCTTGTCCATTAGGCCACGCGGCCAAGGTTGTATATATTAGCCAAGCTTGTATCAATAGCGGAAATGATGAAGAATAGTCATTCACACACCCGATCAAAGTCCGTGCTCAAAAGCATTATGAAATAACATTTTAAAGTGTTTAACATACTATATCAATGTTTGTACTCATTAATGTCTGTTTACCTTGAAATAATTCTCAAACCTGCCCGTGTAGATTTAGTCATTGTTTCCTAGTCATTATTTTAAACCTAAAATGATCATCACATATCTTTCCTCATTGTAAATCATTATTCAAAGTAAAAAGTTTCCAAAAAATATAAATATCTGTTTTTATCCTAGGTTTCTTCTTTCTTGGGGCACTATTAAAATGAACAATGGATTGCATATAACTACAGGTCCTCTAAAGAGAAACGACCATCCCGAGTCAAATTATTTTGAAAACTAGATGGAATTTTGACTGCGCGCAGTCGAAAATGATGCCTCCGCCATAGAGCAATTTAAACAAGTTTGGAGTTTAAATCTCCAGTGGTTCTTGAGATATCATGATAACAATCTCAATGTATGGAATTTCATAAGTTGACCTCTGTGACCCTTGACCTTTGACCTACGTGCTCCTAAATCTAATCAGATTGTCTTCCTATGGTGATACACACTATCATTAAGTTTGAAGTTTAAATCTCCAGTGGTTCTTGAGATATTATGATATGGTGATACATACTATCATTAAGTTTGAAGTGAAAATTCTCCAGTGGTTCTTGAGATATCGCGATAACGATCTCAATGTATGGAATTTCATAAGTTGACCTCTGTGACCCTTGACCTTTGACCTACGTGCTCCAAAATCTAATCAGATCGTCTTCCTATGGTGATACATACTATCCTTAAGTTTGAAGTTTTTACATCTCCAGTGGTTCTTGAGATATCATGATAACAATCTCAATGTATGGAATTTCATAAGTTGACCTCTATGACCCTTGACCTTTGACCTACGTGCTCCAAAATGTAATCAGATTGTTTTCCTATAGTGATACACACTATCACTAAGTTTGAAGTTTAAATCTCCAGTGGTTCTTGAGATATCATGATAACAATCTCAATGTATGGAATTTCATAAGTTGACCTCTGTGACCCTTGACCTTTGACCTACGTGCTCCAAAATGTAATCAGATTGTTTTCCTATAGTGATACACACTATCACTAAGTTTGAAGTTTAAATCTCCAGTGGTTCTTGAGATATCATGATAACAATCTCAATGTATGGAATTTCATAAGTTGACCTCTGTGACCCTTGACCTTTGACATACGTGCTCCAAAATCTAATCAGATCGTCTTCCTATGGTGATACATACTATCCGTAAGTTTGAAGTTTAAATCTCAAATGGTTCTTGAGATATCGCGCTAACAAACTCAATACAAGGAATTTCATAAGTTGACCTCTGTGACCTGTGACCTTTGACCTACGTACTCCAAAATCTAATCAGATCGTCTTCCTATGGTGATAAATACTATTCCCGAGTCTTAAGTTTAAATCTTAAATGGTTCTTGAGATATTGTGATAACGGTCAAACGGGACGGACGTACGGACGGACGGACGGACAACCCGAAAACATGATGCCTCCGGCACCACCTTCGGTGGCGGAGGCATAACAAAGAGAATTTTAAGTCATTTGTGTGTTGGAACAAATGGGCAAGTTGTCCGCCACTACAGCAGATAGATATTACTGTTTCAGACTATTTGAACAGCCCATACCTAGTATAACGATTACAATTTTCAAAAATTTCATAACTTTCTCCTTTTTGGGTGCGATTTCATTCAAACTTTCACCAGTCTGCTTCTCTGAGGTTTTTGATCTCTTCTAAAGTAGTTTCTATCATGGTTGGATTTAGCTGAGGCTGTTGAGCAGGCGGAGACGGGATATGAAAACTAGGGGCGGTCGAGAAGAAATGCCTGTTACGAGACAATAGGGACTTTTAGATTTGCACGTCGACATGTTGACTGCTACGTGCGACGTTCTTTTTAACCTGCCTTAAACGGACGTCACACGTAGCAGTCCACTATGTCGACGTGCAAATCTAAAAGTCCCTAATGGGAGAGTGGTCAGCTGATAACAGTGATTAATATTATACAGATGTGAAGCAGTCGACCCAACGCCCTCTTTAGGGGAAACATCGTATCGGGCCGATGTTGTTTATGCGTGTTAAGAAGGATGATGATGATGGTGATGATGATGATGATGATGGTGATAATGATGATAAGGATGATGATATTGGTGATGATGATAGTGATGGTCACTGGACATACAGATTATTTGCCTTTTGAGAAACGATGACTATTTTCATGATTGTAATCAGTAATCTGAATGATATCATTATGATTCATTAAAAGGTCAAGACCTTTAACCGTATGGAGAACTTCAAAATGTTCAATTCATGTACATATAAAATGAAAAGATAGCAATATTTATTCCTTTTATTTTCTTTCGTTATAATGATATGTGGCATGGGATAAAGACCACTGCTTTTTCATGAATATGGCCGCCGGAAATGATTAATTCTATTGGCACTTACAATATATGCATATAGGTATGCCAGTTATTTTCCACCCAAAAATGAAAAAAACACAATCGGTGACCAATGAAAATGAAAGCATTGGTGAAAACAGCTTTATCAGTGTCAGTCCCGAAAGGGTTAGTATTCCTAATAATTGATGGATAGACTTGTAAACTATGAAACAGTGATCAAACATTGCCTCAAAAACCTCGCCGTAAAAACAAACACATATTGGGTCAATAGTGAAATGCCATGACAACAGATTTTTCCACTTGATCTACGCATGCTCAGATGAGATGCATAGCCAATGTAAAATTCATTACCATCTCCCCAATATAATAATATCAGAAATAGAAAAGAAGGAAGGGGGTCAACAGGAGTGAGAACACTGTATTGGCGCCATTTTGGATTTCGGATTATCAGCTTTTACGAGTCGGAACACAAACCTGATCACAGATTTATAAAATTGTGTTATTTGTTGGCATCCTTTAGCTTTGAAAAATCGTTGGATTAATTTCATCAACAAATAATTACGGCATATATTTAAAAGGCAGTGTTTCAATCAAGGAAGGGTAAAATGGAACTTTTGTTCGTGATATTACTTGTTGTGTGCTTTAGTGGTAAGTCCATCTTAATTTATCGATGTTATATTTTGCATTGTAGAATTAAAGAAGCGTGAAGTCTTGGAAAAAGTTGCGATGTGTAAAAAATAACGTGCAGCAAAAACTATAATACTTTCAATAGTTAAGACTCGTATTATTCATTCATCACTCATTTTACCATCGAACTATATTAAAACGCGTATGTAATACTGAAGAGCGAAATTATGTAGCATAAGATTTAAAACTAATTTGACAACGAGGATTTCTTTAGTTCCATACCAGTTAGTAGTTAGAATCAAATAGTTCTTTCGAAAAATACCATTAAATGTATGGATTCAATTTGTTATAGACTGAAATGCAACACCTATAGACCTATCATTTGTTGGTGTACACGTGGTTGTGCTTTATTGTGTCGATGATTTAATTGCTTTCAAATCATATAGAGGCTTACATTTTTGAGGTTTCTTATCACATACTTATTTATGCATTCCGTACCGCAGGTTTATGCCACTTCAAGCATTTTAGCTTTGAAATCAATACATCTTCTGATTATACGTGATTGTTGGTGTATACCTCTTTTATGTGAATAAGAAGTTTGCAATTTCAATGTTAACTTCATCTATATGCACAGTGTCATGTTTCCCGTCTGTTTCTGAAACTAAATCTTTTTGTTTTGTATCAATGTCTGCCTTGCCTGAAATATCGATCAAACCGTAACAGCCGCTAATTATATATTCACTGTAACGTTAATAGTGATCATAACATAGGATTGGAATGGGGTTAAATTTTAACTAGGATTTTGTATCATTATGGATCCTATTGGAGAAAAGGGAAGAGGGGTCGTGGTATCTTTTTATTTCAAATGTACGTTAATTCACAGTTGAATACATCCATAAACTTTGGGATAATGCATATTGGGAATGATGAAACTTTAGACTTATAAACGCCATTCTCATGGCATAACGAACCATGAGAATAACCAATATGGCGACAAAGCCTTCTGAATTACGAATAAGAGATTTGCTGAATATTAATTCAAAATATTCCAACAATAATAATGCTAGGATAAATCAAATCGTTGTCAGCTTTAAACAGGATTATGACTATTTCTTTTCAGTTTGGGAACAATTATGCAATTTAAATCACTAACTTCTTATCAACGTTTTATAGTAATTCATTATAAGCTGAATTAGAGTATCTCTTAAATCTTTTTCTTCTTCAAGTTTCATCTCTTAAAATCTTTTAAAAGTTGGTTTCAACTGTATTCTGCATTCATTCTAGAGAGACAAAATGTCGAAACAAACTAAGCATTTGGTTACATTCAAACATGCACCATTCGTAAAACTTAGAGTGGTAATGTATTCAGTTAACACAAAACATTATTGTGCCTGAATAGATCGGTAAGCTTGACAATAAGAACAATCTCTGTTCCTTTGTTTTCCACAGCCTCTGATGCGCAGAACTGCACTTTCACAGACGATTACTGTGGGTACACCAATGGCGGGGTAGGACAACTACAGTGGCTTAGGGTAGAGAACCTAAACGACATAGGTATGACGTCATCTAAAAATAACTTTATGTAAACTTTGAGGCGTGCCTACCAAAACATACTTGAACTTTGACATAACAGAAATTGATGACGAAACGAGATTAATATGCAAAGATTAAAGGTATTACAAAGTTTTGGTATGGGGTCATGAATTTGGTTCAAATTAACATATTGGAAGCATATGCGTTCCTACAATATTCAGTGATCGTTGTAGCGGTTGAAATCGAGTCTCAAGTTGTGAAATTATAAATAATAAACTCTTTATGTTGTATAGCTCCCTCTCAAGGTCAAGATATTAATTTAGCTATGAAACAATATTTCTTGACTAAAATCGACCGATTAGCTATTCCCGTTTGGAAATTTTATATCACATCTACATATTCTGAGATTTTCATGGTCGAAGCTACCATTGTACGGCCATATGCGCTATTTGAAATTTATCAAGATTTACCGGGAGCACCGGTAAATTTTTATATTCAATTTTTCTCGAAAACAGAAATGTTTTAGGGGCTAATTTTTTTAGTGCTTATAATACATCCACATGGGCATCCAAATACGTCAAAATTGTAAAGATTCACTATCCACCCAATTTTCAAAATTTCCCAAAACTTTGTATTACCTTTAATGGACTCACTATACAGAGAGAGAATGTGATGAGTGAAAACAAACCAGGATCCCTAGTCTAAAGGGGCTGTTAAGGAAAGGAGGGAAATTCCTGGTGGACTAAAACTCTACAAGAGGGACGGATTCGGCTTCCATAGATCATGTTGATCTTCTGTCTTGAGAACCTTTAAAGGGTCACTCTAACCAAAAAGGGCTAACAAAATGTAAACAAGACATGTAGAATAATTTTTGACGGAGATTCCGAACATGACAATGATTTTTCTTAGAAATCATCAATAATTCTGGAATCTAGCTTTAAAAATGACGACTCAGAACGCTCAGAAAAAAAGCCCAGTTTCGGAGCTGTATTGCGCAATAGCATATGACGTCACTGCAGGAGCCTCTCCAGTGAAAATGTGGGTGATTTAGGCATACAAATATCTATATAAAGGCAAACTATGGTATTAATAATAAAAAAAGGACATTTATCCGAAAATAATATGCACTTGATAATCCCAGTACGTTTCTGGCAATATCGTGATTCCTTATTATAAAATTATAAAATTATAAAATCGGACATGCCCGCAATGACGTCAAATGCGTCATCAAGCCACGTGACCGTATGACATTTTTTCGAGGGGCGTAGCCCAGCAAGCGTGAGATCTGTGAAAAATGGATGATTATCATCATTTTTTGGTCAATTTAGAGATTTTCTGAAAAATCAGAAGCTGGAATAATAATAAGTAGAAATGTATATATGTTTTAAAAAGCTATGTTAGTTGGGTTAGAGTAACCATTTAAATGAACGACTTGATCCCATTTTGGAAGAATTCGCAATACCATTTGATACGAACATTCGAACATGTAAGACGTACTGACCGAGGATCTGAACAATTTAATCAAAACATTAATTAATTAACAGTTTACGCTGTAGCCCCCTACATTAAAGATAAGCCTGATTTCTGTAAATAAATAAATAAAGTTTAAAAGAAATAATACTTAAAGCATGATATTACATGAAACGCAGAAAATGAGGTATCTTTCAGTTCAAATTACCATACGTAAAAGTATATTTAGAGTAATATATGTTAACCATATATCTTGTAAAACTTCTGACTCATGCTCGGAAAATGAATGTTGAAAGGGTTATTAATTAATTTCCCCAAATTTTCGCAGTTCCTAATTATGTGTCCGTCGAGTTTACTGCCCCTGGGCGTACCCAACTGGCGACACTCACCAGCCCCGCCCTGACCAAACAGACTGGTGTCAGCTACCGATTTAGTTTCGACTACCGAGTCACGGGAGACCACACCCTACACGTTAGGGCCTCGGGAGCTGGTGGAGGGGGTTGGGAGCATACCGGCGATACCACCGATTGGGAGAGTGCGGTGCTGGTGTTGGCACCACCGACTGATACATTCAATGTAAGTTCATAAGATTCATAAGGTTCATATTGCTACATGGAACTCATCAGAGGGCTGAGGTACAGTGAATATTGGGACACCAAGTGATAACATAGAAGGATTGTTATCCTCAGGGACTTAAAATAAAAAAAGAAGTCATGATCAACTTATTGCATGAGGTTGGCTAACAAACATGTATTAGCCCAGAAAACATCTCAACCAACACGTCCAATGCAATATTTTTCCTTCTTTATTGAAATAGTTTATCTCAGTCAATCCTCCCTATAAACCCATTTTTTACCAATTATGTTTGCCTGTTCCCAATTATGAAACTATAAATACGTTTACCGCAACAAGATCTGAACATGGTGCAAAATCTAAATTTTAGTTTAATAGTTTGCGCTCTAAGTTCTATTTATTGCTTTTCATCACACATATTCATAATTCAGACAAAAAAAAATGTCAAAACGAAAAAATTGGGTGTTTAATGATATCTTCAATAGTTCTTGATTTCCCTATCCTTTATTGAATTTTCTTTGTAACTCACCCCCCCCCCCATTCATTTTATTAAAACCGATTCAATACCATGATGGACTTCCCCTTGAAAAAAATGATATTATCTGGACCGACATGTATTACGCATTTGTGCCATATGATCATAGACTTCCAGTTCTGATATCATGTACAAAGAATTCTGTGTCTTCTTGTCGAAAAGTTTGGTCTATATGCACACCCCTTGATTCCGTTAAAGGTCAAACTCAAGTGCGTTCATTAGAGATGTTGTCATACTCTCTTTCAGGAAACATCTGGGGAGTGTTTCACAAAGACTAAAATCGACTTTTAAGTTGGACTTACCTATGGCAGGCCGTTCATGTCACTGTTTTCTTTTACCATTTACTGGCATTGGTCTCTCAACGGACGTACAAATCGTGATCACAACTGCAGAATATAATTTTTTTGAAAGTTCATTATTGAAGGAAAAAATATCATCTAAGGATCATAAGTAGCATGAATGGCCTGCCATAGTTGAGTCCAACTTAAAGTCGATCTTAGTCTTTGTAAAACACTCCCATGGTATGGAATGTCATCACAGATTTCAGTCGCCTTTAAAATCCTAGGCAGTGTCTGAACAATGCATAGAACTTGCATGAAAATTGCATGTTTGATAATTTCCTTTTTAATGAGATATTCAACTTGGAGGTTTTAAATATATGTCTATCCTAGCCGTTCATGTGTGATGCCTCTCTCAACGTGGTGTTGCAAATAAGTTTCAATCTTTACTTCATCAAAACTCTAGAATTACATTAAAGATAAGCTTGATTTTTGATAAATATAAAACGGAAAAAAAAGATCTCACAGAATCCAACAAAATTACAAATAAATGCCAAACGACTTTGGTAGAAAATGTATTTGGGCTGAGTAATGAGCATAAAACGATAAGGAAATCAAGGTAAGTAGGCCTGACCTTATGTGCTTATACAGGTCCCTTTTGTGCAAATGAGAGTTGTGGTTTTTATTGAAGATGATTTCTAGCAAGTTTTTTGAGGTTGTTTTTATTTTACTGGATCAAACAATCAACCTACTGCAGGATAAACAATCCAGAATGAAATTAGGCCTAACAACAGGATATTGTATTGCCTTTTAGGTGCCTTAACTTGGGTCGGTCGGTTGGAATTCTTTTCTTCTTTTTTTCAGTTTTGAATATATTAATTTTTTTCCTCCCTCTTTGGACTGACATTTCTCAGTTTTGAGTGCTTTAATACGTATTTCTGAATTCATTACACATTTGTTTTTCTAAAAATCGGTAAAAAAAAACCTTTTTAAAATGCCGAACGTATATAGATTTCAAGATTTTTGGGTCGGTCGGAAATGGCAATACAACATCTTTGTTTAAGTTAAACACCTTATAGCCACGTTCTCTCGACATACGATACCCATACCAGAGCTCAAGATTAGCTTTAATTTTAGTCACTGCATGACAATCACCTATTCTTTTAATTCTGTATCTTCTTCTATTTCATATGAATAAAACTGTGGCTGTACTGAGTTACGCTATTTGCAATAAGTGGCCTATTGATTTTCTAATGTTCTTTTACGCAGATTCTGATATTTGCCAACATTGGATCAGGGGCAGCTACATCACGAGTTCAGATTTCCAATCTCATCGTAAATTCTGATGGTGGGTATGCATTTTTTAAACCAATTTTCCCACAAAATAATTTATTTATTTGTTCATTTATTCATTTATTCATTTATTGATTTGTTCATTTATTCATTAATTTATTTAGTCATGCATTCATTTATTAATCAATCATTTATTTTTTATTTTGAGAGGCCTTTATCAGAAATAACATGCATTGGAACACCGGATCGCGAAAGATATATATGTTAAGGATAAGGGAACGAGGCGAGACTCCGTATATGTAAAAAAATAAAAAGATTCTGAGCCAATTCAGCCACCTACCCCCTTGCACTACTGCCGGCCAGTCAACTACCCACCCCCCGCCCCCCCCCCCCCACAATGCCGCCCAGTAAGTATGGTAAGGGGAAGTATTTGCTTTGGTATTTGCTTTGAAATTCACTAAATATTAATTGTTTTCTATTTACTTTTACAGCCAATAACAACTGCGACCCATCGCCTTGCCTGAATGACGGCGAATGCTTTGATATAGGATCGGCAGTGTGTACGTGCATCAATGGCTACAGTGGAGATACGTGTGAGATCGCTCCCATCGCTCCCACTACAGGTATACTATCTTTCAGTTGTGATGTAGCGTGGGCAAGGCTATGGAGGGGGCAGTGGCATCAATGGGGAAGGGGGGGGGGGGTCATGGATTTACTAGGTGGATAATATGTAGGACAGCGATTGGAGAGTATGTGCAGTTGGTTCTCTTCCAATCTTGTATTTATGTCTGTTTTTTCTTCTTTTAGTACTTCTCTTCTCGCTGTTTAATTAGCTGGGGGCACGGGGAAAATAAATACATGGCACGTATTTATATTTTGAATTTCATAACATAAATTTACGACTTGCCATATTAATGTTACGTTGCTTCACCGTACGGTTTCTCATTAAGAAAAGAAGTGTATGAGTGTGTACGAGTATGTCGGTGTGTATGTGTGTTGGTTGGTGGGGGGGGGGGGGGAGGGGTTTCAATTCAATATTGGAAAGATTATTTGTTTTATTATGCCCCAAATCCCTTAATGACACAATATTGTTCATTTTTCCTCTCTTTTTCTAATTATTCACCTCCTTTCCTTTTTATATTGTCTCGGGTTTCACAGATTCTGTAATTGTGTTGCACACTGGACAATAATAATTTGGAGGATTTTGAGGATTCGAGGAGAGAGATGGGGACTTTCATCGACCCTCCTTCACATTTTCTCTATATTCTTTCTGTTCTTTACTAACATGACAATCCTTCCATCCGATTAGTCATCATGCAGAATAAAAGCTAAACCTGCCAATACCCGGAGTATACCTAAAGTCCACCTTAATTATATTTAAAAAAAATGTTTTTTTTTTATCATTTTCATTAAAAAAAAAATATTGTTATTCTTTCGCAGCTCCACCACCAACAACTGCACTTGTTCCCACAACACCAGAGGCAACGACTGCAACCTTGACAACCGAAGGGCCCACAACATTCGACCCCATCACCGTGGACCCCACCACAGGCGAGGTCACCACAGGGGAACCCACCACAGAGGAACCCACCACAGTTGACCCCACTACAGACAATCCTTCCACCTTCAATCCTGACACAGTTGGTGCTACCACATCAGCCGCTACCACAGGTGATCCTACCACAAATGATCCTACCACTGAAGAAATGATAACGACCGATGATCCAACAACGGTCGAAGCAAGCACCCAGGACGCCACCACAGCCCAGTTGACGACAGTGAATCCAGCAACTGATGAACAGTCAACAGAAGGTGCAACTACAGTGGAGGCACCGACGGATACCGTAACAACTGTTGAAGTGACTTCTCAGATTACTTTCACAGACAGTGGAATAACGGAAGAGGTATCTACGGTTCAGATAACAACGGCATCTTTCGAAACTGGTCCTACAACGAGCGACCAGGAGACTGGACCAACAACCACAGGGGAAATGACCAGCGTAGCTTTTCAGACAACAGAGGACGCAACCGAGGCAACGGCAACTACAGATGAATCAACAGATACAGAGCTCCCGGGTACTACTGGAAATGCAGAGCCGACGGAACTGATAACAACCGGTGTCACAACCTCAACAACCGATGACTTAACCGAAGGTCCTGAGACAACAAAACCGCAAGGAACAGACAAAAGTACACAGAGGACCGAAGGGGAATTAGCGACAACGGGTCCTTCCACAACGTCGTCCGCTGAGCAAGGGGGTGGCAGTGGGCTTACGGATGCTACCACAGGTCTCATTATAGGTCTTAGTCTAACCTTTGCACTCCTTCTCATTCTTCTCGTTTTTACTCTTGTTTACTTCTGCACCCATCGCGACCGATATGGCGTCTCAGATGAAACAATGGAAAACGGGGCTCCTACACCGATGGCCACCATGAGGCCTGGGTCATCACGTAATGCAGAGGCCTATGAGAACCCCTATGTCACCGCTCCTACACCATCTACAGAAAGATCAACTCAAACTTCGCTCAGTGCAATCAATGTGTAGTAGTACAAGTACCTTACAACGAAGCGTACATTATTATTAGCATGCAAGTCATAATTTAATAAGTGCTCCAAACGCATGCACTCGGACACACACTTGCACATGCCCATACATAAGAACGTAAATAAAACGTTTCACAAAAGACAAACACTTACATAATATACACATTTACACATGACGCATTTCATGTCATGCCTGCAGTATGAAGAATTATTTACATCATTACGTGGCTGTTATAATTTTTTATTATCTGATTATACTATATTTTATAGGTTTCGCCACCCATAAAGATTCTTTTCCTGAGGCCCCCATCATGTTCCAGCTGAAGCTTAAGATGGCGGTCTCCTTCATTTTTCAATTTTTAATTGATTTGCCAACTGTATTTTTAGAAAGTTATAATTATCTAATTGAATGATATTATGATATGATTATGTATGTACTTGTATTTCAAATTTAATTCATTACATATATCTACCTAGTTTGTATATAACATGTACCGAGTTTTCATTTTGTTGAAAAATGCAGAAATATAATGAAACAAACAAATCTTTTCTATCATCCAAGATAATCTCTATATCATATTTTGACTTCTGGGTTTGGAGGACATTGCATAAATCTCGATGTCGCATTAAAACCCGCTATGTAATGTTGAACGTTGGTGCCTTTTCAAGTATTTTTTAATGTTGTGTAATACCACGAAATGAATTGGTAATTGTCAATATTACACATAAATGGTACCACCTAGCCGATTTTGGTAGAAAATGTATAATAGCTTAGATGAAATATATATCAATCGAACCAGTTTTTCAGTGAATATGATTTCCAGCGAGTTTCGTTTTCTTCTTAAAGGTAATACAAAGTTTTGGTATGGGGTCATGAATTTGGTTCAAATGTACATATTGGAAGCATATACGATCCTACAATATTCAGTGATCGTTGTCGCGGTCGAAATCGACTCTAAAGTTATGAAATTGTAAATAATAAACACTTTATGTTGAATAGCTCCCTCTCAAGGCCAAGATATTAATTTAGCTATATAACAATGTTTATTGACTAAAATCGACGGATTACCTATTCCCGTTCGGAAATTATATACCAGAAATACGTACTCTGAGATGTTCATGGTCGCAGCTACCATTGTGCGGCCGTAGGAGCTATTTGAAATTTATCAAAATTTACCAGGAGCACCGGTAAATCTAAATATTCAATTTTTCTCGAAAGCAGAAGTGTTTTAAGGGCTAAAATTTCTGGTGTTTTTAATACATCCACAGGGGCATCCAAATATATCAAAATGGTAAAGAATCACTATCCACCCATTTTTCAAATTTTCCCAAAACTTTGTAATACCTTTAAACAATCTTTAGTTTGAAAGTCTAAGTTGCATGATATCGAGAAGTAAAAATAACCAACAACCTATAACGCTTTTAATTTGTAATTCCACGATGTCTTATATTTTGAACATGTTAAAGAGCAACTGTACTTAATCACTTATAAATCATGTCGCAAAATACCAATCCATGCTTAGTACATTGTTCATATTCTGCAAATGGCATGCCCGGGAAAGTTGTTTCTCTTTTATTTTGCCCGGGGACAACCAGTATTCAATTTAAAAGAGTAAATATATTATCATCATAATGTCATTTTTATTAAATGTACCTTATGAATTTGATTTGTAATGTTTGTTCATGAGAACCGGAACAATTTGTGAAATTGATCTTGGTTATTGCTTGTTTTGGATAGAGACAAACAACTTGACGATTTAGCCCACTCATTGTAAGGTGACTGGATAACTGTTAAAAACAATAACATCCATATGACCCAAACCAGTGTCTGATTAGTATACATAGGTAAACAAAGATATTGGAATGGCGATCTTTTTAATTTTTTACAAATGATATAAGAATATATAAGAACTTTAACTTTCCCTTTATCTTTTTTTCTTTTAAAGTAGCCTTGATATTTTACTAATCGTTGACATGTAACGTGTCAATTGTTTGTGTTGCACAGTTTTCGAAGATATATTGTATGTTGTTAGAGGTCATTTTTAAGTCTTTTATATTATCCAAGAAATTTATTTGAAGCGCAGTTATAACCAATCCTATTTTTCTACCTTGTACTTCATTGTTACAATTCTAAAGAGCTGAATAATTTTGTCAAATAGGTCATGTAGATTATTTCATTTAGTAGTATTTTATCCTGGGTTACGAAGAGGCACGCACATTGGTAATTAAATTAAAATGTTCCTGACATTTATGCTCAAACGGATTATCTTGATACCATTTGCAATTGCATACCACATGTTGGGAAATACGTATTCCAAGATGGGAACATGCATTCCTAGTTTTAGATTACACTATACAATGAGGACATTAATGAATCAAGAATCTTGCCCAAGTATTTCTAAAATTGTATAGGAGAGCTCTTTCATGCAGAATTAGTGAGCAACATGAATGACGATACTGAAAATGATTAGATTGAAAATATGTACTTTATTCATTTCCTTAATTGACGATATACAAACATTTGGTGAAAACTGTAAATATTTATCATAAAACACACATATTGAAAAGGCGAAAAGGTCAAGCACTCGTAAAAAACGACGTGTTCGAGAATTTGTTTACCTAAACTAATTACTACACCCTACAATACATCTGATGAAGGCCTACATGTATATACGTAGATTAATCGAAAAACATCTTGTAAATAGCTGAAGTAGTTGTTTTATATGTATTGATATTATCAGTTTCATTAACACTTCATGGCGTTTTGCCAAAGATTACAATATAAATGTGTTAAGACAAGTAAAATTGTGTCATGCAATGTTTCGATAATTTACATTTTATTCACACAATTATGTGCCGGAGAAGGAAGAATATGAAAGTTTATGTTGGCAGAATGCACACTTTATCAACGTCAGGAAGTTGAGTTAAAACATATTTATACAAGATAGACGCACACTTAAAGTATTACAAACGATTTTCTTCAAATCATTAAAAACCCAAAATGGTTTTCCGAAGCAACTTTGACAATTTTATATGAATTACAAATTTCAGATACGTCCAATTTAGAAAAGATCATTAACAAAGTTTTTCACGTTCAACTGATAAAAGGATATTTGTTATTTATCAGGGCAAAAGGCACATTGGATTCAATGAGAAATTCTTATCTCGGATAGATATTTGCGAAATTAAGATAAATGGATAAGCCTGATAACACTAACGGGCGATAATAAGAGACAGGTTAAAATATACTCGTACATAGTTAATATATCTTTAAAGTAAAACCCCAATTTATTCAGTATAAATACAACATTTTTATTCCTACATTGTTTAGTGGTATTATATGGATGTAAAATGAGATAATTATGGGATCTAATATGTGCACCTTTTTCATGTTTTTGTAAAGCTTACCGTACATTTATATACCGGTAACGAAAGTTAAACTGCACGTCTTCATTCCTTATCGAAATTGTTAAATAATATTATTTATACATTATACATTGTGAACTAGGGGTACACAAACTAAAATCAAAACAATTGCTCGCCAATACAAACATTTCTTTTTGAAATTTCTTCGACACTGATTAATGATTTAATTCAGGTTCGAACACTTTCCTGTGCAATTGCGTTATGTAAGCTAACTTCAAATCCCAGCTTGCTTATTGAATACTCATTTGTGTCATGGTTATTCCACCTATTTTTGTCTTTTCTTCATCTTCTCTTAATCCGTTATCTTGGGTAAAAGTGTAGTTATAATTTTACATGCAATTCGTGGTCATAAAGTATTTGTTTTATACGGTTTCTGTTTCTACGTCTAGGTGTAGGTCTTGTCTTCGAGCCAAAATGCGAACAGATCAAACGATTTTCCTCTCCTAGTTATAAGTTTGGACTCGGCTTCTACAACACTATTATTGAAAAAAAAATACTTTCACCCAAATAATATAATCACTTTATCAACGCAATTGTAGAATCAACCATTTTTAGTTCCGTAGTGTAGATTTTGTAAGAAAATAAAGATAATAAACTGCTTACAAAAGTAATCAATTGATTTGTCTTTGCTTTTCGGTTTCTTAAAAGTGGTCGTACATTATTTCAACAATCAAAATTAATTATGAGAAAGAAATATGTTTGGGTTTTTAGAGTGACGTTGATGAAACTACCCCCTTTTCTTTGTTTTCTTCTGAATCTTGTGGTGGAGAATCCGTATCATCATCGTATTTCGTCGACAGACCAGTCAGCATCGTCTTCTCAACTTCGCGGATGTCTTCCTCCTTTTGCAGCTCCGGTTTCGATTCCACTTCCTTGACCTCCTCGTATTCATTCTCATCTTTCACTTCCTCTTTCACGTCTTCATTCACGTCCTCCTTCACGTCTTCATCTTTCACTTTATCTTCTGAACCAGAAGGCTTGTCAGTAACGTCTTCGTAGTCGGGTGCTTTTACGTCCTTTTCCCCGGTAGTCTCTCCCGATCCGGATGGTGACTCTTCAGCTTCCTCGACATCCTTCTGTTCCGACGTCGATGGACCCGCTTCATTCTTGCCTTCGTCATCCGGGTCATCCGGGTCGTATGTGGTATTGATATATGCGTTCGACTTTCCATCCTCGACATCGAGGTCCTTCACGCCCTCGACGGCCTCTGCTTTCCGTCGATAGCCGTCGTTCTTGATGCACGTAGCCGTGAACCAGGCGGCGGTGGCGATCAGGATGAAGGACCCGATGCAACTACCGATAATGACGGGGATCATCTCGGGGTCGACGCCATCGATTCGGATGTCGATCGGCTCGGGAGGTTCAATCGTTGGAATCTCTAGATCGCAAGAAGAATGAGAAGAGAAATAGTAATAGTTATTCACATCGCTAATTCGACCCCACACCGACTCTAAACCGACCGCTCTTTGACCATCCCGTGCACTGAACTTTTGTGTTTGGTCTGTTGTCGGTTCGGTACTGTCCCGTTGATGGGATCCCACAAATCCGAGAAGAGGGGGGGGGGGAGGAGATAGAGAATGGATAATGAGGAAAGAAAGGGAAGATAGAGAGATATATAGATAGAGAGAAAGATAGATAGAGAGAGAGAGAGAGAGAGAGAGAGATGCATCACTGGAAATTGTATTTCGGCCCATGAAAAAATCCTTTACGTATCGACTATATTACAAAGCTGGATCATGATCAGGTCCAGGTCTTATTATTTCAAATATAACTTAGGACTTCTGACCAAATAGATTATCACACAAGATGTAGATCTAGTCACACAACCATATTTATTGTGAGGATGTAAGTAATTTGGAAAGGTTATTGATGTATACAAGAATTTGTAAAGAGTCTACAGCCTGTTAGCGTTACAAACCATTAAATTGACAACAAAAATAGAATAGTAAAAATTATATATACGACAAATCCAAGAATAACTAGGAATAAAGACACATTTAAGCTTTTCGTCTTAAATTCTTAAGAGTCCAGTTGAGTCGTTCTTGCTAAAGATTTAATTATATACGGGACACAGAAATGGAATATGGGACTGCAAACACATGTTACATTCCTGTTTAATCTAAACTTTTCGGGTATCTTCAGGTGCGTTTCTTCTACGATACTCTTCCAGTCTGGAATGAGAAAAGTCGTGAACTGTTGTTCACCTTTACCAGAAATAAGCACTTCTCTTTCAAATTAATCTTTTAAAAGAAACTTACCTTCCTGGCAATGATAGCCCTGGTAGCCCTCGGGGCACAAGCAGGTGTAATCATAGTTTTCCTTCTCGTGGCAAATGTATCCCTCTCGGCAGGGTTCATGGTCGCAGATATAAAAAGCTGTAATAAATATATATATGACAAAAGTGACACTGATTTTTAGGATATTTTTTATTCTACGTTAGATAAACAAATACAACTGGTACGGTAGAAAGTAGAAATAAAAGGTTAAAGGTTACATTGGCTAGCGTCCGATAGTTAGGCCTATAATCATCATTTATTTTATTGCATTGTGTAATAATATAATATTGTACTTATAATATAATTGGATTTGTATTTGTTGCTGCTGCCGTTACAACAACGATTAATCTATTTTTGTTGTTGTGAGTAAAGCTGTTTTGGCTTTTATGATGGGTAGGCCAACTGCTAAAGGGATAAATAAGTACAACGATACATAAGCCTACGATGTTTACTATGATGTATCATCAATAGTAATCTGTCAAATTACAACTTTAGTGATTATACATAGTGTCTCCAAGTATTCCCAGTGCTACGATCTTATATCCTACCACTCCATTTCTCTGTAATCTACTACTCCATTGATATACTCCATGTTAACGAGGTCTTCATTTCGAATTTGTAACGATTTTTATGAAAAATATTCGTTTCCCATCATCTCTACGATGCTTACTACGATCTATACGATGTTAACTACAGTGTATACGATGTTTGCTACGAGGCGTACGATATTACTTACGATGGGTAGCACCTTGATTTCTTACCTGTTTCGCAATTTTGACCTGTCCAGCCGATTTCGCACTCGCAGTAATATTGAGAGTTCGAATTGTGACCACAATAACCTCCATTGAGACAAGGATTGCTTCCGCATACGTCGGTAGCTGTTGATTTGGACGAAGGTCACAAAAATATACACATATGATAACAGTGATAACAAAACCACCAACCACACGAACAGGATTTGTTTTCAGTGAACACGTTTGCTAACCGTTGGTCGGTGCCAGGCAAAATGCTCCGGGAACGAGTTCTCCGGGCGTTATTTCGTCAAAGATACACTGTTGGTCACTGTTGGTCAAAAGGGCACTAATATAGCACATCGACACGGTTTTGATCCTGGGGGCTCACTGTAACGAGGCCATTGCTTAACCAATGAATCATGACTATACGCAGCGGGTGCTAGGGTACGTCGACGCCCCCACAAAAAAAAAACACACAAAGAAAATGCAATACATTTTCAATAATTCATTGCATTTTGCCCCGACCCTCAACATAACAAAATCTTCTATGTGGGCATGCCTTGACCCATAATGCATGGCCCTACAGAGGAATTTTTTCCTATAGATGGGCCATTTTTGTCCCACAATTGGGTTATTTTCTACCAACCATGTACTTACCGATGGAATAATTGGGTAATGTTATTGGGAAAATTAAAGTTTGGCCGTTTTTGTCTAACATTTGGGCTATTTTCTCCCAACCTTTTACTACATGTATAGTTACCCAATTAAATATTCAAAATTAGTTGAGCAGATTTTACTGGGCAAACGCAAGTCGGGCAACAATTACGTGTATGGAACATATTGGGGTCTAGTTCTCATATTAGAGGTGTCGTGGTCGAGTGGGTATGTCTCAAGACTATGGATCACAAGGTCCTCGGTTCGACTCCCGCCGCGGCGCTAATGTCCTTTTATATATAATAATATTTGTACAACTCATTTGCCCAACTAGTGTCTAATATGCTACACATTATGGTGAATTTCTGATGGGGTAAATATTTGTTGGTTAAAAAATGGGTATTTTCCTTTAATCCAACACTGGGCAAATCGTGCAAAATCTTTAATTTACCCAACAGTTGGTTGGACACATAATCGCCCTCATGTTGGGTAAAAATTCGGCAATTTTTTGCCCAATATTTTTAGAGTGTATATTTCCTTTGGGGCATTGCTAATATAGAGACTTACCACGTGGGAATATATAAGATTGGAAGAAACAAAAACTCGCAAGTTAATTTTCGTCTTAATAAAAATAAACTTTGGTCTCGTGTCAGTGTCGTTGGTGAAACCGGGGTAGGATATTACGATCATTTTTACAATAAAAGAGAGACAAACACAAACATACAAGCAAAGAAACAAACAACCGCACAATGGTATTTATTTTTCAATACTCACCAAAACAACCTTCACCTAGGGAAATGTCGTCAATTGCGATATCACCCAAATGTCCATCGCCCCGTGATCCAGTAAATTTAAGCTAGCACAAAAAAAGAAAAAACAAAAACAAACTATGTTAGAAAAAACAAGATCAAGAGCATGACGATGTCCCGACATTTAATTGCCCCTGCGACAATGGCTCCGTGCAGCATTTTGGTAAATGGTGTAATGGTAAGGTATAGTGTTGGGTGCAGGGTTGAAATTAGGATTCGGTTAGTGTAGCAGTTGTGGCAGAGCAATTCTCGCAAAGAACAAGTGATGTACCACAGAGATGGCCCACGTACATCTCACTTGTCTAGTAATAGGAAGCGTTTGGTGTCATAAAGGTTCGATGAATCGGTTTTTTAGTTCAAGGGTAGAGCTATCCATCAGACTAGGCTTAGGACTTTACATCCACCCAGTACATTCTAAAATGTTTCACTTGTAATTATACAGTTTTTAATTTGTATATTGTACATTTTTCTATGTATATTTCCACCTTATATTTTGTCTTACATTTGTTTTTCTATCGGTATATTTATACTGTATTAACATTTTAATTACGTTAGTTTTCTTCATTAAATTGGCTTATGTTACTTACGGAAATTAACCGATATACAAATGTTATTTATCATTATTATTACTGTTATTATCGTTATCATTTCATTATTATTATTGAAATTATTGTTATTATGATCATTATGCTCATTAGTCAGAGTAGACTTGAGTGGTACACTTGTAAATAGTTGCACAGATGTACATACTGCACAGCACTTAGACTTTTCAAACTTAAACTCAAAGGATGATACTACAAGTGACAATCAAGGTGGAAATCCAAAAATCTTATTCTATGCTCGAACCAACTCATATTCATAAGGGAAAATAATTTAGCCCTCTGAAGATAGTTCATATGAATGCCTTTAGTTTGAAGAAAAAGTACGTGGAATTGAAGGACTATTTATATGACAACGATGTTGATATGTGAGCCATTACAGAGACATGGCTTGACAGTTCGGCTCGTAGCAGTGAATTTACACCACAAGATTATATTTGTTTTAGACAAGACAGAAACTTAGATTTTTATGTAGATGGCACCTATACAGAAATCGGCAGAGGAGGAACCTTGCTCTTATGGTACGTTTATGCTCATTTTTGAAGGCAGAATGAGCGATTTGAAACACTCATCGTATACGCTCATCGTTATCGCAGTTCCACGGTGTACTGTTTATGCTCACTTCTCTGGCCAGAGAAGTGCATTGCAGAGTCTGCTGCTGGATTTGCAAACCTGTACTGCGCATGCTACGTTGACCTCATTTATGATTGTGCGTTTATGCTTTCCCAGAATCGCCGATCCAAAAACAACGTACCTTGTTGTTAGTTTACGATCGGCGATTACGATCGCCGTTTTTCTGTGATTCTACAAAAATGAGAAAGGACGCAACTATGTTTTGAACTAAACGCGTAACAAATGCCTCATTCTGGCCAGAAAAAGTTGAGCATAAACGTACCCTTAGTCAGAAGGAATTTGCATTCAACATTGTACACTAAGATTGAAACTAAAGCCGAGATGGTGTGGTGCTTAGTTCATTCAAATCCAAAGACAAAGATCTTGGTCGGAGTAATTTATCGTTACTGACTGGTCAAACCCCTCAAGATTGGAAGGATGCAAACATCATACCCTTTTCAAGAAAGGATCTCGACTACTGCCGAACAATTATAGACCAGTCTCTCTTACAAGTCAAATAGTGAAGATCTTGGAGAAAATTATTTGTGACAAGTTATTAAGTGAACATGCATCGATCAATAATAAAATTTCATGCCATCAGCACGGTTTCCAACAAGGATGTTCATGCACTACTCAACTTCTGGAGTGTTTTTACGACTGGACGAAGGCTATTGATGAGAAGGAAGGAGTAGACATTGTATATTTATATTTTCAAAAGGCTTTCGACTCAGTTCCACATCGAAGACTTCTGTTAAATTGAAGCAACTCGGAATACATGGCCAAGTATTGGATTGGATAGAGAGTTTTCTTGAAGGACGCAGGCAGAGAGTTGTTCTCAGAAATGGTGTGTCATCTTGAAAAGACGTAACAAGTGGAGTACCGCAAGGGTCGATTCTCGGGCCCCTGCTTTTTCTTTTTTTATGTGAATGACATTCCGGAAATGGTGACCTCTACAGCTAAGATGTTTGCTGACGACACCAAAGTGTATAGATGGATCAAGACAAAACATGATTGTGATATTCTCCAAGATGATCTAAATGCACTTGCGGCATGGTCCAAATCCCAAAATGACTGCTCGTGTGTGTACACAGAAACGTTGACATTCGGCTACAGAGGTCTCTGCCCCCTCCTTATAACGAAATGCTCGTACACCTATGATTGCACTGTTCCGGATTTTCTTTCGATATAATAAAAATATACACGAAATTTCCTTTTTTTTGAGGGGGGGGGGGGCTGTCCCAATTTGAAATAAAAACAGAATGAAATTAAAATTAAGGGGAAAATCTATAACTCGTTCGCGTTGCTTACTTTTTGGTGCAGTTACGTAGTTGATTTCATTGATTTCTCCGGGCGCAATAATACATACACTTTAGATACAGCATGACAAACAAAGAAACAGATACAGCATTACAAGTAAACAAACAACATGTGAAGTACTCACGGTGTAATATCCCATGTAATCGGTTATCAAACTGCTGTAGTGGATCCACGTATCATTGCTTTGGCCAGGTTCTACAATCCGGTGACGAAATTCAACCGATCCCGTTTCACTAGTGATAATTTTGATATTTAATCGAAGCTCACCAACATGGTCCCCAAAAGCGTGGTAGTAGAAGTCGAAGTAACAATATGTTCTTTCCTTGAAAAATTCGACGGATTTCAAGATAGCAGTAGCCGGTATGTTTTGGCGTGTCGTTTCGATGTACATATAGTGCCCTAATAAGGAAACATAGTTATTGCAGATAATTGTTCAGTGTTTTATTCAAATAACTGTATAATCATTTCTTGCACTTGCTATCCTATATCATGACCATGATCACGATAATTGTAGTAACATCAATAGTGATTATTATAATAAAAATGAAGACTAATTACATTTCCAGAGACTTCCAGAGACAAATTTGACATGTACAACAAAACTATAAATAATCATATAACAAATACCAAAGCTTTGTTATTAAACCTATAGAGATTCGTAAATTGAATCTGCGTTAACTATACTTGTCGTACAAAAGAAACACTATCAGTTTCGGATATTATAGAGAAGTAAAAGTTTTAAATATGACTTGCCTTAAGAATATTTTTAAAACATGATGATAGAAAATTGTTAAACATGTTGTATATTCTTCCAATCGCACAAGGACAAACGTGTTTACTCATGCGATACTTGTCCGTCTAACGAAGCAAATCCACTCTCCTCCTAAATCGGGTGTGTTTCTGAATGTGCGCTAACCTGTATCGTTCATGAGGGTGTGATCAGTAAGTGGTCCAGTGTCAAGAGAGGGCGTCTCACCAGAATGTCTCGTCCAGTCGAAGTCGTCTTCGAGGTCCTCTTGGTAAAAGAAACAAAGATCACCCATCTCACTGCTCTCAAAGTCACAGCTGTTGGGCATTTCTGTGAATGAATGGTTAAAGCCATAATAATTAATCATAAATAAGTAATTCGGTAAAAAAAAACTATTGTTTTACAAGTCGCGCTGCAAATAAAGAAAACAGGCAACGTAAGATTTTGTGCGTACATTCAACGAAAGGTTAGGTGAGGGGGGGGGGAGAGAAACTTTTGGAGGAGCTTATCATAAGCCAATGTATCTGAATTGTACTCCTGTCTCTTCTATGAATATTATTATAATTCTTAAAAAAGATAGAGAAGATAAGAATGAAGACATAGTTTACTATCTTGAACGGCATTCTCCCTGTATTTATTTATGAAGGGATTTGAATGTTGTTATTATTGACTTTAATATTGTCTCAATCAAGAAATCTGTTATTCTAGGACAATGGAATATAACTTACTGGGTTGTCTGACCATTACGTCGTCAATACCGATGTCAGATCTTTCTCCTTCACCTATGACACCTTCGAATATAATCTGAGAAAAGAAGGAAGAGAAAAGAAGGAAAATAAAAGTAGAATACGGAGAAACATGTAGAGTCAAGCACAACATCTGGACAAGTAAGAGGAGGACAACGACGAAGAACAGGAGGGAGGAGATGAAATGGGAGAAAAGAGGGAAGAGGCGGGAAAAGAGGAGCACGGGAAAGAGTTGAGGATGGAGGAGTAGGAGGAGGAGGAAGAATAAGGAGGAAAAGGAATCAGAGGAGAATGAAGAGAGGAGGAGGGATGAGGAGGAAGTTGGGGGAGGGAGGAGGAAGAAGAAGGACAAGGAGGAAGAGGGAAGGAATTAGAAGAGGTAGGTGTAGGAGGAGGGGGGAGGGGAAGAGGGAGGAGGAGGGAGGAGGATCAGGTCTAGAATGAAGAGGATAGGAATAGACTTAAACTTGATAAACGGCATGGTACATTATTCACCCATGCAATAAGTATCTAAAACATCACACACCATAATCATCATAATTAAATTACAAATGTATGTGGTAGTTTTTTGGGGACGCACAAAGAAACATGCCATCGTGAAATATTCTTGGTTAAGAAAGAAAACATTAACATATCGAAAATGATGTCTACCTGATTGGAATATCGTTGTGATTCAAAGAGAGAGAGAGAGAGAGAGAGAGCGCGCGAGATATTCATAGGAAATATTCAATAGGAAATATCAAGGTGACCAATATATTTTCTGCAGTTATCTGACCTACCCGAAACGGACTAGGGGCCGTAAACATGATCTTTGCCTCTTTCCATCCGGATCTATCCGTCTGCGATCCCGCGCGTGACCAGACGGGCGGGTGAGCCGGGACTTTCTCGCCGTCGTAGGCGATGTAGACGTTGAGCGTGCCCATGTTTGTCTTGGGAAATGGAGAACCCCCGTCGAAGCCGTCCCACATGCTGTACCAGAACGAGATCATCGTCATGTCCGTGCCGGCCTCGTTGGGCTGGGAGTCGAAGGGACTGTAGATTCTCGCTTTCTCCCCATGGTCCCTCCCGTTTGCTTCGGTGTAGAGGAAGTTGCCACCTGGAAGAGGAATGGGAGGAAAGCGATGATAATGGCGATGAAGAGGATTGGAGTTGTAAACACAATACATTAATGTCAATGGAATCGAGGGAAAACACAATTAAGACAATTAATGACATCGATAATGCATGTGATGACGACGTGTATAAAAAAATTCAATTAACGTGTCGACGTTAGTGAAAATGTTGGTGAAATTGAGGTCGATTTTGAGAATGAGAGGGATGAGGGTGGTGATAATGGTGATGATGATGATTTTGATATTAATGTCATATTATGACGATGAATATCATCCCACCCGACGTTTCATGTCTTGATATCTTGTCTTTATACGTTTGGATCAGTGTTGGTACATTGCTTCTTTCCCAATCACATAGAGCTTCTCTCGGACTATCCAGATCAATTTGTAAGAAGTACATGTATGTGGCTTCTGTGATAGTGGAGATAGGTAGGGCGAAAGAAAGGCCACCAAAACGGCCCGAAACGGACAAAATAGCGCCTGGACGGTCACGTATGAGCGATCCCGGAAAACGTAGAACACAGTGACCTTGAAGGGATGCTAGAGACTATGCCTACGAAGTTTGAAGGGAATTAAAAAAGAGGAAGGGACCTAGAAAGGTCTCGCAAGCACTGCGTGCAAAACTAATGGAATTTGGTGCATGATGAACATATGTGGTGACGCGTGCTGTGGCACAAACAGCCGCCCATACTAACACCCTTGGCGATTTTCAAAAATCCGGCTCCCAGGTGCACTGCGCATTGCAACTCGGAATATCACTGCAAAATTACAAGGGGACAAAAAGGACGGGAAGGGGGCGAAAAGCAGTCTGAACAATGACGTCATAGTCGATACGTGTTATAACTTGGCGGAAACATATTTTTGTGATAACATATAACGTATTTCGTTTCATTCGAAAGAACCCTTCAATGCGGTCAGTTTGACACCATTGGCATCTGCGTAAAATAAATTGCACGCATTTAACGGGCTGTTACGTAATGAATACCAAGTTCATTTTTGGGGGCAATAATTTTGCGCTGACGTCATCTAATTTTACCAAATTAAGCAGAAAGTTGTCACGTGCCTGGATACATGTGTATGCCAAGTTTTATTGACGTAGGTATACGGATCGTCATTTTAGAGAAAGTTGAAGTTATTTCGCAATTTTCCTGGAAATGGCGAATTTGGAGGGCAATTTTCTCACTTGTGGTCACAGTCAGGGTCTATAATTTTGAACTTGGCTGGAAAGGGCATATCTTCACGTATCTAAATACAAAAAAGGTTACGGATTTGGCCAGAAACGATGGAGATACGGCCAGTACAGAAAGAAAGCCGATTCCCAGAACTTACGAGACCGCTATTATTTTTTTTTCATATTCATTGGAGCTTTAAATTCAGCATGGCTTTCTGCAATTATGAAATAAAGATACTGCAAGAAATTGAGACAAAACGGAAATGGTATGAGAAAGTAAGATTTGAAAGGGGTCCATTTTTCAAAATTTTAGAGATTTTTGATGGAGTCGGTTTTGGATTTGAATTTGCTGTGCAAAGATGGCATTTTGAAGGTCAGGTCATGGGTCGCAGATGAAAGAACATATCTTGGGACTATTTAGAGTAATTTTTTAGAACTTTGTAGGATCTAGAATAGTAGAGATAGGAAGGAAGAAAGAAAGACCTTAAACGGATCCGGTAACCTTGTCTTAGATCCTTTAGAAATAATCCTTGATTTAGCTCATGCTGCAGTGATAATTATAAACCTTTAGGTCAGTCAGGAACTCCATGACTTTTACAAGCCGATCGCCTGTCTGATTATCAAGATATCAATGATTGGAACTACACATTTTGAAAACCGTTCGCCGAACGGTTTTCATAACACTACAGTCTATCGGGGGAAAACGAGTATGGTAAAACCGGTCACTCAAAGATTTTTTACTTTTTTGAGGCACTTCTTGATCATTTTGAAGCGCGATATTTTTAGGGCTTCAATATTACACCATATCACAGAAACTGGTAACATGTAGGACCGTGTATCTCAGATTTAACATTGTTAAATGACCCCTTTAAAACGGACCAGAAACGGACAAAATGGCGCCTGGACGGTTATGCATGAGTGATTTCGAAAATCGAAGAATGTAGTGACCTTGTTGAGATACTAGAGACTATGCTAGAAACGGCCATGAGGTAAGCGCATAACTAGTGATAAGAAGCACTACGTGCAAAACGAATGCGATTTCCGGACGAAAACACCACGGAGAACACGGAGAACACGGAGAACACGGAGAAGAAGAATATTAATGGGGCAGAATGTGAACGAAAACAAGGCAATGACGATATTCGTCATTGCAAATATAAGAATAAAAGAATCAATAGCGAACAATAATAGCTGCAAGAACAACAAGTATACAACAACAAGAACATCATCATCATTATAAACAACAACATCATGGTTGGAGTGCCGTTGTTATTTTGGTAAAGGCTATTGGCTCTCATACGAGGGGCCCCAAGTTCGATCCTTGCTCATTGCAAACATCCTTGCACAAGGTGTCTTGCCCACATTCTTTTTGTCCTTCGTGACCTAGGTGTATGAAATGGGTACATGGCAATACTGAGGTAATATTGATTGCAGCGTCTACAGGAAGAGTAGTGATGGGGTTCTTCTGAGTACATAAGATACAATGCTATCATTACTATTATTATTCTTGTTGTTGTAGTTAATATCATTATTACTCTTATTCTTATTAAAGACAACAACAATAACAAACAAAAAGCGTGTAAACAAGACATCAAAACAGCAATGGCGAATGCCCTTCATCCTACGACTCATATTATTACTTACTGCCTGTTGTATGGTCTCCTGACGGTCCCGTGAACGGGGTCGGGGTCGGCAATCGCCTGACAGACCAATCAAAGTCGTCTTCGTAGTCGTTGGACCATCCGCACCGTTGATTCGATGTACGATTAGCGTCAAAATTACAATCCTGGCAGCATGCAAGACCTGCATATTTACAAATACGTGAATGTTAAAGTACCCGTTTATTTGCCAAAGCCGAGTTGTGTGAATGTCTTTCATGAGACAAAAGCGTTTTATATTTAGATCCCATTTAGTTCGTGTTTTTTCAAATGCAAAATGGGTCATATTTGGTAGAAAACATTCTTGAAAGTATCTTAAATATATATTCTTCAAATCTGTTGACAGTATTGTGCGTTACACTTCTGGTTTAATCGATATATCCTCATTCGGGATTTAATATCTAGCCTGTCCAACAATGACATTTTTGATCAGGACTTTGAAACATGATTTATGTCACTAGGAACTTCCTCTCAGAAAGGTTGATGCTCGGTTTTACTTCGGGTGGGTCATACCACCTGTTATCTAAGATGATGAATTAGTTCAGATAAGAGTCAGATAACAGCAAACCTAACCTTTGTACTCCTTTCATGCGCGTGGAAGCAGAACATATACGAGATACAGACTGGCGAAATGATGAAACATATCGGATCACTAACAAGAACGCTATAAATGCTTGAAATATGAGTTTACTTAATTCAATTTTGTCAGCATTTGAGACGTTTTCAGGGTCATATCTCTGATATGTCGTTTACTCAAATATGATTGTTTTTTTTCTCCCTGGCACCTTTCCTCCTGGACACTACACTATTTAAGACTTCTTACAAGAAATTATACGCTCATAAGTAATGAATACAAAAAGTTAAATTTTTAGTGATTTTCATTTGCTCGAAAAATGAGAGAGGCTTATATTACAATGACATTACCTATTAAACGTATTTGAAAGTTCAATATGTAATGCTAAAACAGCTTTTCAAAATTGTAATAATTTTCTCATTGTATGTCCTATAGTGTTCAAACTTTTATCAAATTCCTTTCAGTGCTGCTTCCTATCATGAATAACTTTCCCATTTAAAGCCAAGTGCGTGGTTCAAAGAACACATAATTCAATGTCAAACTAGGTCTGGATATACGTTAGATGATACGACAGTTGGTAATTCATTTTCCTAGCAAAATAATCTTCAACCCGAAATATTGTTATCATGTAAATGAATTCCAACAACATTTCTTGTTGCGCAGCTGATTTTTTCGATAGATGAAATTAGGGATACTGGTGTGCAAAATCAGCAGGTTTCATTATAAAAAAGTTGGGTATACTTGTCCGTATCAGGACAATTACCCCCTGGGCAATCACCCCCCCGGAACATTACCCCCCGGAAAACTATCCTCCAAGGACAATTACCCCCCCCCCCGGAAAATCCCCCCGGAGAATTACACCCCGAGGACATTTATCCCCCAAGGACAATTACCCCCCGGAAAATTACCCCCCTTGTCCTCGGAGGGTAATTCTACGGGGGGGGGTTGATTGCCCAGGGGGTAATTGTCCTAGAACCCCCCCTTTTCCCGTTTCCTTCTCTTCCAAAATACCAATGTGAGTTCTGCGTACAGTAATCACAATATTTGGTTCTAAACTTGCACTGATGCCGTTAGTATATTATGTTAAATCTAGCACTCAAAGTCAACTCACTTCATATAACTCCCAGAGTACACCAATTTTAATTTAAAGCTTTAATTCACTTTGAAATCGTTTATCACATTCGTGATTGCAACCCTGACGTCGCGAACCCAGAACAAATATGATGATACTTTACCTGCAAGCACTAACAAAATGGCGGAGAAAAACAATATCATGTTGTCGATAAGTTGTTTGATCCAAATAAATATCATATATATTTGAACATGGGATTCCCACCAGCATAAACAGACTAAACAACTGCGGTTATGTACAGAGCGTAATCAAGAAATCATGACCGATTAGAATATGGATGACTGTTCAAATGGGAGCAAGAATTTTAGATGGGTAACTTGCTCGATTTAGCGACGGACTTTAAAACCACTCCACCAGTGATGTGTGAGGTCACAGATAAGGAGAAGATATCGAACACGTTATCAATAAGAACAAGAAAAAGAGGAGGAAGAAGAAGAAGAAGAAGAAGAAGAAGAAGAGGGGGAAAAAAAAGAAAAAGAAGAAGAAGAAGAGGAAGAAGAAGTAAAAGAACAGAGTTATTTACAGCAAACAATAGTACATTTAAACTGAGAAAACAAAATTTTGCTTTTCATCAGGGCACAGGACACGTAGGATTCAAGGAGAATTTCTTATCTCTGATAAATATTTGCGGAATTATGATAAATGGAAACGCCTGATAATATAAATGAGTGCTAATAAGTGACAGGTTAAAATAAACTTGTATAGGTATATCTTTAAAAGTAAAACCCCAATTTCTTCAGTATAAATACAACATTGTTAAATCCTACTTTGTTTAGTGGTATTATATGTATGTAAAACGAGATAATTATGGGATGTAATATATGCACTATTTTGTAAACCTTACCGTACATTTATATACTAGTAACGAAAGTTAGACCTGCACGTCTTCATTCCTTATCGAAATTGTTTGGTAATATTATTTGTACATTATACACTGTTAACCAGGGGTATACACGAACTGAACAAAACAATTGCTCGTCAATACAAATACAGAACACCATGCTGAATCACTATCACAAGTACTTGAATCTGAAGTACCAACATTCATGAGCTAAAATAATATAAAAAGGTACTTCAACATTGATTATTGATTCAATTCAGGTTCCAACACTATCCTGTGCAATTGCATCATGTAAGTTAACTTTAAAAAAAACCAGCTTGCTCAAGGCCCGGTCACACAGAGGGGACGCATGGGGGACGCACGGCCAGCGCATTGAAAATTTGCAATTTGGGCCAGTGCGTTGTCGTTCGCTAGGCGTGCGTCATCATTCGTTACTCGTTCGTCGAGCGCGCTGGACCCACGCTATGCATTCGTCGTCATTCGCTGTGTGCGTCGGGATTTTTTGAGCATGTTCAAAAGTGTGCGCGGAGCTCGACGCATGAATGTACACGCCAGAGGCACGCCAGACATGCGTGGAGCGCGCTAGACCAGCGCCAGACATACGCGGAGCACACGCCCTGTATACGCACAGCGCGCGCTAGCTACACGCTGTGTATTTTGTGTCAGCTCGCTAGCTTTTCCAAAATCATGACAAAAGTTAGGCACCCGGCCTTTTCCGATTTCCAATGCGCGGGCCGTACGTCGTAGAACGCGGTGCATGCGTTGACCATTCGTCCAGCGCGCTAGCAACACGCTTTGCATTCGTGGAAGTTGTTATCATGTGCGCTCTGTGTACGCTCTGTATGCGCACTGTATGCGACCTGTATGCGCTCAGCGCGCTAGCAACACGCTATGCATTTGGTGTCAGCTCGCTATAGCTTCGACAAAAGTTGGGCGCACGACAACGCACTGGCCAAAAATGCAAATTATCAATGCGCTGGCCGTGCGTTCCCCATGCGTCCCCTCTGTGTGACCGGGCCTTTACCGAAGACTCATTTTCATCATTGTTATTCCACCTATTTTGGGCTATTCTTAATCCGTTATCTTTATAAAACGAAAGGTGAGGAGAAAGAGAGCTGAGAGAGAGAAAGAGAGAGAAAGAGAGGTAGAAAGTAGGACATACGCACACACATACTAACACAGAGACTAAGAAAGAGAGACAGAGGGATAGATATTGAGTCAGACAGACATCATGCAAACGATACCTACAAAGATTTCAGCATATAATGTAAATACCGACGTGACTTGAAAAACTTAATTGTATAAATGGCGCCTAATAAGATGATGTAAGTCTTTATTGCGATAATTTTTAAAATCGTCATCATCATAATCGACATTAATATCTTTATTACCATTATCATCATCACTATCACCATTATCATCTTCATCATCACCTCCATCATCATCAGCATCACTATTTTCATCATCATCAACATCGTTACCATTCTCCTCCTCCTTCTCCTCTTAATCATCATCACCATTATCATCATCAAAATCAGCCTCATTCTTTTGTTTCGTGGTGACTGTGATTTTTAATTTCCCTGAGGGTTCATGAAAGGAGGGTGGAAACTAGGCCAAAGTTCAACAAGTTCAGCAAAAATAAAGATTGTTAAATATTGGTCTCCAGGACATTCTTTCGTAACTCGTTCCCCTTTATAATTTGGTTCTGGGCTCTTGGTCTGGGTCATTGGTCTGGTGAACCTTCAGTTAACTGGGAAGCCCCTATAGGCCTATGTTTAATATCCTACGCAAGGAGGGATGCTGCTGAATATATAGAATCTTGATGAAAAGACGGTTTCATTTAATGAGTGTGAATAAATATACACCGGTGACAAATTTAATAATTGTTATCATTCACCTTTGTTTATTAAAACAAGAAGAAAAAGAAAGTATTAATGATATCTACCTTTAGAATTTGTTTTCATTCTCCTACTAATTACGAGTATTCTGTATGTGTTTAACGTGGATGCATAACTGATGACAAATAGAGCAAATATAGGAAATATTTTTGGATATGACACGACTAATTGACTGATTTTCTGAATATAACGACTACTAGTACTTTCTCATATAATTATACACATGACTAAATTGAATTGAATTGAATTGATATAACTCGGAATTTTATTTGATCGCTTGATGATGAACACTTTCATTAACAAAAAAAACATTTTGACATTCCTACCGTATTACTAAAGATTTTGTTCTCCTTCTTCGTTTCATTCTTTGTACACTATGTTAATTTTGAAAAATGTTATCATCACATTAATTAGAAATGTACCCTGAAGGGGATCATCGCTCATCAATGCCATCATATTCAAATTATGATTAGACTTGTTGCTTACTATATAACAAGCATTTATTGCTTTCTTAGCTGTCAGGTAAATAACCAACTAACACTATCACTTATGGCGGGAAAGTGTGGAGCACACTTCCATGCACAATACCCATTCTTATGTGCAGTGGATGTGATTAACAAGATTGAGTCGATTTATTTTAATTTGATCATTCCATATGCTTACAGTATACATATATTCGTATGTAACCATGTAGTCCTGTAGAAGTTTTTCACACCCGGCAAAGTTGTTAAGTACAAGGTTTTTTTGTTGATTTGTGTTCTAGATGGGTATTAAAGTAAATTCAGCTTGGTTGCCAGCTTGGCAACCTTGGGCAACTTTTTTAATAGCCATATTAGCATAATCATCTAATTAGCATTATGTGCAATATGTAATAATGCTGCTAATCTCAATCCTGGAAGCCTGAAAACATGAATAAATCGACTTTTCAAGGGTTATATATGACAAGGAATTCATTTATGACACCAATTTTTATTTTTAAGTAATACAATTGTCTTAAATAGCATAATTAGCATAATAATGTACAATATAAGGACTTCATTGTCATTGTTTATCTATAAAGCCTAAACATGGTGCAATGCAACATTGTAAATCCCTTATGAAAGATTAATCATTAATTCATGCGACGATATTCCATGTATATGTAGTATAATTAGCCTAATTAGAATAATCATTTAATTAGCATATATGTGCAGTATGTAATAATGTTGCTAATCTTAATCCAGGAAGCCTGAAAACATGGATAATACGACTTTTCAAGAGTTCTCTATGACAAGGAATATATTTATGACACCAATTTTTATTTTTAAGTAATACAATAGTCTTAAATATCATAATTAACATAATATGTACAATATATGGACTCCATTGTCACTGTTTATCTATAAAGCCTAAAAATGGTGCAATGCAACATTGTAAATCACTTTAGAAAGATTAATCATCAATTCATGAGAAGATATTCCATGTATATGTAGTATAAATAGCCTAATTAGCATAATAATCTATTTAGCATATAATTATGCAATATGTAATAATGTTACTAATCTCAATCCAGGAAGCCTGAAAACATGGATAATACGAATTTTCAAGGGTTTTCTATGACGAGGAATTCATTTATGACACCAGTTTTTGATTCCAAGTAATGCAATTGTCTTAAATAGCACAATGAGCATAATGAGCTAATTAGCATGTGTACAATATATGGACTTCATTGTCATTGTTTATTTATAAAGCCTAAAAATGGTGCAATGCAACATTGTAAATCACTTTTGAAAGAAAAATCATTAATTCATGAGAAGATATTTCATGTAGATGTAGTATAATTAGCCTAATAAGCATTATGTGCAATGTGTAATAATGTTGCTAATCTTAATCCGGGAAGCCTGAAAACATGGATAATATGACTTTTCCAGGAATTCTGCCACCAGCTTGAGCAACGTCGGGCTTGTACTCTCAATGGTTCTGGCTTTGGTAAACATAGACAGATTATAGTTCTCACTGTTGTATTCAACATCCCTGGCCTATGAACGTACCTGTCTCACCACATGATCAATTCCATCATTACCATCTGCTTTAACCATCTTCAGTGTGTTTCCGACAGTCTCTGTAAATCCAATGACTGAAGCCCAACCATCACTGCGTATGATGACCCCGTCATTTCATAGACATTTCATGAGGTTCGACAACATTGCCTTTAAGACCAAGATAACCACCACATTGGACATACAATTTGTGAAGCTCAATAGAGTCCCAAATAATTGATATTCTACATATATGCTAATTAGGCATATTAGTTAACCCTTATTCGCATACTTCTACCAGTCAAATTCATAGCTGTCTTGGTTGGCAAATGATACGTGATAGGCAACAAATCCATTTATTACTCCTAACTTACAAAACATTACATAACATGACCCCTGAATATTTGAAAGACATGTTTGAGTTTAAACCCTCTCGATACTCCCTCCGTAATGCACATAACCTCTCTTTACCTAAGCCAAGAACTAATTATTGTAAAAGAACTTTTGTGTACAGAGCTTCTTTTCAATATAATAAA